TCACGGACGATCTGGCGAGCGTATTTGGCTCTGCAGCTAACCCCTTGGGTATTGGTAGAGGGTGTCATTATGGATTGAGAGGTCGGTGAGAATGTGCAATTGAAGTATCGTTTAAATGTGCAATTGAGGTATCAATGAACGACTTTGTCGGCCCTTTATATACAAAAGATTTGAGGTTGGTGTTGAGAGATTTAGTCCATGTAGATAGATCTAGATGCGGTATCCATGAGGCGCTCATGATCGCCATGGGTTGAAGTATAATGCGAGGTATTTTAGCTTCAGCTGAAGATAGAGTACTCGTATTTTCCTGACGTTTGTGGACGCGACTGATATTGCATGCCATACAAAAATACGCCAAACTCATGATTTTTGGTGTATGCAATAATGGCCCAGTTCAAAAACGTCAGGAAGATACTAGTACATGTATTTGGAAGTTCATGATTATCCTGTTTTGAGGAGCAGAAAGCGCCTGTACCACCATCGCCAGTCGTAAAGAAGAATGGCTGCATTGTAGATCACTCGACTAAGACAACGGCACTATGCCCGTTACGGATGCCAATAGTAATGATTAGTAACCAGAAAGATGGGGTACATATCGATCACCAGTCGTGAGACAGGTCAAGTCAAGAGAGGAGGAGGAGAAGAGATCAGTCGATGAGATTGAAATTAATAGCCATTCTCTCTGGTCTCGTTGTCAGCTTGTAATCCCACCGAAGCCACTTGACACGCTTCACTAATTGATATTATGAGGCCTAGGACCACCGTATCGTCAAATGCGCATCGTCAAATTAAGGTGGCTTCAATTGATACGTAGCATCAAGAAACATGCGCATGTGTCCCAATCAAGTGGCAATTCCGAATACCGATTCTTCCGTAGGCCATGTAAAGTAGATCCAGCTAGGGAAACAACAGACTTCAGCTCGAAAGGAATGTTTCCTTGATGCGGGGGGGAGGGGTGGAGATCTCCGGGCAATCGCCGACATGCATCCAACGTTACACCGCTCGACAGTACATGTGAGCTTGACGAGCTATCCCTGGAGGAGTGCGCAGGGCTTACGCATATCGCTACCAGAACTGTGCATCTTGGAATTTGAACCCGATAACTTAAACTCCTAACCTGAGTACTCTACACGAGGATGATGACGATTCAGCTGCTGCTGCTGCTGCTGATTATGTTGTTGGTATTTGTTTCAAATTAGTGAAGCTAGCGCGTGGTTCCTCTTCCCCGCATCAGCGCCTCGCAACTATCCCGCAATCATCCCGCATTGCATGCGTGAGACTGGAGTTCGCCCCATCTCGCCGCTTGGCTGAATAAAATATTTTCAGGTGTGGGTAGGGTCTATAATTAATTGTATTCTTGGAGACTGTCGTAGTCGAGTGACAGCCCATGAGTTGAAACAAACGCATTCTCTGAAACCCTAACCCACCTGTACTAACCTTCCTTACCAAGACCGTGTCGCTCTATCTGACTTCTCCTGCTCGCCGAGTATTTCGCAAGCCATCAGAAATCCACGTAGTAAAGTACATGTACTTGTCGAAACTTTATTCATGCATGTGCAGTTCAGAACACGTACTATGAGCTTATGGACACCTCACAATTACATGTACATAGAGCCCCTACTAGAGGTGGATTGGTACATATATGTATGCTATTCCGTCTACTTATAAATCCATGTACTTACCTCTTCTACCCCCTCCCCTTTTTTTTTTTTTCTTTTTCATCTTAGTCTTATCAAGCACTATTAGCGTTTTTGACGACTCAGACCTCCTACCCGAATTTGAAACAAGCTCTTTCATCGATTCTTCTACCAGACTATTGTGAGATGAATTATTCCGTCGAGCAACCAGACATCTGCACCTTATTGGTTATTGGAGAACTGCGTGATGTCGAAGCCAGTTATCGTTTTGATGATGATATATTGTATCCTTAGGGTAGTGAGTATTTTCAGTCGACGATTCATACGTCTACTTTAACTAACATCGAATAAGGTACAAAGCCCCATAAGTTTCCGCCCTCTACAAAGCCCGGCATGAGGAGCTCCTGAAGATTCTACAACATTTAGGGCCCGTTCGGCAACAGGCCAAAAACGGCGTTGACAGGAGTGAAAACTCCGTTTCAACGACCTTCTCGTTAGGCATTGACCCTTGGAATCTCCGTTTTGTCTTGTTGACGAACGGCCCTTAATTGCTATCAACAACCACAATAAGTACATCAACGTCGACGGGCTCAGTGGTGCCCAAGTAATCAGTCGGGGTAAGAATTCCTGCCTATCCCGTCGTTTTATCGACTTTTTTACTATTGCCATTCCCAAAATTATCAATTGATATCCCTGTCCCCGCTATGCCTTCTTCCCGCTAACAATATAAAGGCTTCGAGGTTGTCTGCAGCAGCAATTGGATATGTTGGTTTTCCGGTACTCTTCCACAGAAAATGCACCAGGAAACCGGCAGATGTTATATGTCAGTTTATATCTGCCTTCTACCGCCTTTTCCCCCTACTAACAATGTAGCAGCTACAGTTCACGGCTTTTCCGTCCGTTTTACTCATGATTTGCGGTAGGAAAACCGCCAAGAGTCTCGTTTGATTCGGTGTTCGGGTTAGTTCGTCTTCAACAACTCCTCCTAATAACATAGCTAAGGAAATCTAAACAGGTTCGAACAAAGTCAGAGCTGGCAGCCGTGACGACCCAACAATTATATCACCTCAGTGCAATACAAACGTTTTCTCAATATCATCTGTGGATTTACTCCTGACAAAACGAAAGTTTATGAGCTGCTCCTCAAAACTCGATAAACCCATGATTTCGAAAAGTGATTCTGTGTTACTGGAGGTGTCACCCTCCCACAAATCATCTCTGCTGTTCTCGTGGTCCAAATCGTGGTTTCCTTCAGACCAACGTCGGGATTCTGCTTACATAGGTTCTTGTAGGGCGAATGTACTGAGATTTATTAATGCCGGAATCCTCTTTACATAGGTTCTTGTAGGGCGGATGTACTGAAAATTATCCACACTTACTTTCTCAAACATTTTAAGCCACCGCTGGCTTCTTCCCCCGGCTGGGGCGGACCTACTCCCAGCAGCCCGCTTTATCCAATGAGGACGCTGCGGCTTCGCCTACTGCCGCTCCCACCGCTGCTAGGCAATCCCGGTCGCCGTCTCAAACCCCACAAGCCGAGCTCTCTCCGGCAAGACACTCTGTCCAAGTGGCCGCCTCCGTCGGAAACTCATCTACCCTTCTCAAGGGCGACAACACTTTCGACAGGATTCTGTCCTTCTCACCTCCGATGTCACCAATCAACCGCCCATGTCTGACATAGCGTTCGGCATGATCTCGGTCCACATTAATACGGTCCCGGGGGCCAGAACTTCTGTGTATTCTATTCAGCGTCGAGTTAGCAGAATTGATAATCAGTCGAAACCAACCTACAGGTCTAGACACGACGTGGAACATCTTTGGTAGTTGGCAGACGGAATGTCTTGCATCGAGATGGCACTTGTGGGGGTGACATTTGTGTATGTCTTGCTGAGTGATATATATAAGTTCTTCTGATTTTATATTGAAACTAATTTTGCATGAGAATAGGTAATAGAACTATAACGGGATACGGTCGGGACCGAAAATCTGTGTTGAATATATTCTTACAGGGCGAGTATCACTATATGCAGTATCACTATAACGAGAGTCGACTGTAGAACAGAGTAGAGTGAGAATGCAAATTATAAAACACGCTATGTTCTTATTGGCCTATTTCAACCACAATGAATACTAGGACATATTTTTGCCAATATTGTTGATGTCACTCATTACACCATATCTTAGTGAATTGAAATGGCATACATGTAGTTTGGACATATTTAGTTTCTCGCGCGCCCGACTCAATCTAGCCCTTCTGCGAGCACCGGCAATAGTGCATAAGTAAATACTTCCTAGCAAAACTCTTCCATTGTCCCATCATTCAAATTACACAAACGCAATAGATATATAGGGGATAGTTATAAGATTGAGAGTTGCAGATTAATAGAACATATCTCCTGGGTATGAATCCCGGTTACCGACTTTGGGAATTAATTGGTAATTATTGCTGGGTTGCTGCACGAAATCACGGGAACTCCATCACCCGGCAATGTAAACTAGAGCTGTACCATTTTATACTCTTCACATTCCTTCCACGTCGCCATGTATGGCCGGCCTAGGAGATATGTACTGGCATGAGTCTTTCCTGGGTTCGGGAGATCAGTATAGTATCAATTAAAGCTTGAAGAAACATTGTCCAACACCCCCGCACCCGCACCCGCACGAAGCACGCCAGATCGATCTGTATTGTTGCGCATTACGTTCAATTTGTCCAAAGATCACTTAGATCGCCATCAGTATCGTACCCGCTAGTTTGTTCTGCCGAGTACCTAGTATCGTTGAACAAACGTGTCGTGGCCGGGTCGGGTCGGGTCGGGTTAGATCGGGTCGGGTCGGGTGGTGATCAAGAAACAAAGTTAGACATCTACATTTTAGGTTTACGGCACACACGACAGAATGCACCACCATATCATGAGGTGGAGTTTAATCCTCACTTTGCACTTTGGTATTCCTCTCTTTTAGATTGTAATTGTTTTGTGGCGGTATAATTGAAGCATGGCTAAAAAAAAAAAAAAAAAAAAAAAAAAAAAAATAGAGTTTAATCAATCGGTGGTTGGAATCGAGTGATATATCATGATCGCGCTCCATAATTTGAACTCACCACCACAACAATTCATGAGCCGTAATATCTCGACAACCCGGCCATACAAACCCATTTACCATCCCTAATAATATAGCCCTACCAGTGCTCCCCCCCCCCCCCCCCCTCTTTCCAACCACCTCCGCCTCGCAGGCACCCCAAAAAGTAATCACAAACACATCTAAATCACCCGGACAAGCAGCCAGTACTTCATTCAAGCTGAAAATTCATTCCACGGTATGTCACTAACTATGCCAAAGAAAAGAAAAAAACCCCAGCACAAACTACTTAAGCCGCTTTGTGACCTTAATCAAGATATGCCCATCCGAGCGGTTCCCCTGGTTATCGAACAGGCTCAGAAATCTGTATCCCTCCTGCAGTCGGTCCAGCCTAATGCACGCCCACGCCGCCAAGTCGTCGCGGCCGAATTCCTCGTCGTGGACTTTGAATCTGTTTTTACGGGTTCAAGTTAGCTATCTATTCCCATATATCTGGGGGCTATTTTTCTACGGGGGGGGGGGGGGGGGGATATATCTTACCGGACAAATCCAAGCTTCTCAACCACGCCCCTCACCCCCGAAAACACGACCTTCTCCCCGCCCCACGAACACGAGGTCCCCCTCTTCGCCTTGGTCTTGCCCTTCGGCCCCGAGGCCTCCTCGACGTGGAGCTCAACCTTCACATACGGCTTGAACCCCTTCTCCGTATCATCATCCTCCGGCATGGGCAGCTCCGCGCCGGCCAAAAACTCGATCGTCAGATCCAGCGTCTTTTTCACTGGCCCCTCAACATCGCCGGGCCTGTAGCCCTTGGGCTTCAGCACGTAGCCGCCCTCGCCCGCAAACATGCCCTCGTTGAGCATCATGCCCTGGTCGCACTTCTGCCAGTTGAGGGCCACGAGCTGGCACCCGCGGCGCCAGAAGGTGGTGGGGTCGCCGTTGGAGGAGGAGAAGCGCAGGCCGAAGGGGTAGACGCGCATGAGGTATTCCTTGTTGTGGAGGAAGATGTGGTCGGCGTGTTGCTGGTGGAGGTTGGCAAAGACCTTTTCGGAGAAGGAGTAGACGTGATTGGGGATTCTAGAGGTGTTGTGCAGGAATGGGTTGGGCTCCTTGGCGGGGAAGTGGTGCGCGGAGCAGTAGATACCGAGCTCGGAGAGGGTGCGGGTGACTTTGGTCTTGGGTGGTTTAGCTTTGTTGGCTTTTCGGGCGATTTCCTCGAGTTCTTCATCGGAGGAAGAGGAGGAGGATGAGCGGCGGGTGAGGGTGCGGGTTACTCCGCGGGGGATGGAGTCGGTTCTGGGGACGGGTGGTGGGGGGAGATATTTTGCCTAGATATCGTCATCAGTTAGCTGGGAATTGTACCTCGATCAAGGGCGTTGGCATATAAAATAAACACACACCTTAACCAGAATCTTCCTGCGCAGTTCCATAGGACTTGGCATGCGCTTCACTTCCTCCGGTTGGATCCCCTGCACCAACATTCCTTTCCATTCCTCCTTCATGATCTCCACCATCTTCTCCTGCTGCTCTGGCCCCGCATGACACTCCAACGAGATGATGACCGGGCCCTCCCCCGCACCGCCCTCCCAACAGGTCCCCTCCCCTGAAAACGAGTACTTTGCAACCGCCTTACAAACATCGCGGAACGAGATCTCCTTGGTGAGTGTGTATCCATGAAACACCTCTGGCTCGCCATCATCGCCATCCCACACATCAATCTCGATGCAGCGGCACCCACGCTTCAGAACTGACTTGTACCCGTCCGTCGTCGACGTGCCATACAGCTGGTGACCAGTAAGGTAAGTGTTGTGCGACGAGCTGATAAAGTACGCACTCAACGGCTGGTTCCAGTCCTTCGTCTTTGGGTCCGGCAGCGCAAGCGCGTTGTTCGTCGGCGCTGAAAAGTACGCCACAAACTCGTCAAACGTGATGTTCGAGTCGTTCGCCAGCAGCTTCTCAGCGGATGCGGTCTGCGAGGGGTGGAAGATGTGGGAGACGAAGCCGGCAAAGCCTGTTTGGTTGTCGCCGGGGTGGTTTCCAGAGCGGTCGTCGTAGCGTTTGACCTTTTGGGTGTTTGTGAGGAAGGTTTTAAAGTCGGCCACGGGGAGCGTGTCGGTCCTTGTGAGGGTGCCGAAGATCTTGCGGAGCTCGGCCAGGACGATAGGAGATTTGATGCGGAGGGGACGGGAGGAGGCGCCTAGGCTTCCTACACCACCGCCGGCGCCTGAAGATGATGTTGTGAGATCAGCCATCTTTCGAAGAGTGATGCAATTTTAGTGCTGGAAGATGTAAATATGGCGAAGGATGATGGTATGGAGGAGATGGAAGCGGGGTACCGGTCAAGACTTTATATCAGGGATACTTTCGAGATAGTCGCTGGGCACACACAGCTCGCTCAGCTCGCTCAGCTGTGATGTGGAGTGTTATGCTGTGCCGTGCTGTCTGTGCTGTCTGTCTGTCGCCCGGGGGGGGGGGGGGGGGGTCACTGGTAAAGAATTAACCAGACCACAGCATCCACCGTCGTACCTCTCTCTCTCTCTCTCTCTCTCTCTTTCTATGCAAACCTGCCGCAGCCGTCACGCACTGGCAGCACCACACAATGTGTCTATCTCTGCGGCCCCCAGCCTCCACAATCCTTGTTTTGGACAATTGCAAATCCTGAGACTTACATTATGTACGGTACAAGATACCTCGACACCAGTGGCTTGCCCTTCCTCAGCTGAGGTCTTAAGCACCCGGCTGTTTGGGCAGCGAAGGCGAGAGCGGGGGGTTTCCGTCATAGCTACATAACCGACTTGCATACATGTAGATACTTGTTCCTATCGTCTATCGTTCTCGCAAATCTCCCTTCTGCGGATCGCGTTGGTTGACCGTTGGAATCTTGCTTGGCACCCTGACAGGCTGCGGGGTTGTTAGCGGGGCCGCGTAATTGAGGCTCTTTGCAACGTGCATGTTGCGGGGGGGGGGGGGGGGCGGGGGGGGCGGGAACTGTTCTTCTTCTCTCTCTCTCTCTCTCTCTTCATCTTAAGAGGGGGCGGCAGATCAGGGGGATTAATTGTGTCGAGGAGACCGTCATCTTTGTAGACTGCTGTCATGATATGGTGTTCATCAGTTCTTGTGTCCTGTCCTGTCGGGCTTCGCGAGATCTACAGGCAGACAGACTGTTCTCTCGACGCGTCACTCGGTCACGTGCCACGCGAATAGTAGCTACATATATTACTAATATTTCTCCATTAGTAGAGTACGTAATTAGAGCGGGGATATCAATAGCTGTGTCAAACAGCTTCTTCCCCCCAGAGCTGAGAACGTCGCAGTAGGGGCGAGCATGAGCAAGAAACCTGCACTATCCCCAGCACCTCGATCCCAGCTCTGAGCTCTACTTGGGACAAAAGCTTGTCGCCTCCCCGGCCATCATGTATCATCACTCGCCCTTGCTCCCGGCTAGCGCTGTTTCCCCCCCCGACTCGTTGTTTCATCTCGAATGCCATCGTTAGCCTTGCTGCCGAGGATTTGGTGCTTGTATTTTCCTTGTTATCAGTGGACCCCTCGCCTCAGTTGTCAAGCCCAAGATGGCGCTAATGTGGTATTGAGACGCAATAGGTAATGGGATGGATGTTTCTCTGACGACGAAGGATGAAAGCTTACATGGATTGGAAAGGCGTTGTGGGGCATTCTATTATATTGTGTTGATATGGCGATATCTCGGTGGCAGCTACTTGTATTCAGATTGAACCCTCTCCCGGCAAGGATAGATATCGATTCGACTACTGCATCCAAAAAGACCCCCCTTTCGAAGTCTAGATCCTGCATATCAGCACTACATCTAACGCCCGACCACTTCAACCATCAACGAACGCCGCACTGTACCTAAACCTCCCAACACTCTCACTCCCAGCTAGCATATCCACCACTACACAGCCCGCCGGCACCTCTCCTCCAGCCACCGCATCTCGGCCTATACAATGCCGCTACCACTACCACTCCTCTCCCATTTCCTCCCCCAAACACACACAAGCCGCTGTCCAGAACCGCCCCCACACGCCATGTGCACCGTCCCCTTAAACCGCATCTTTTTTCGAATGCCGGAGTATCCGTGTGGCTTGGTGTACCACAGTACGGCGCTGCGGCCGGGATACGCTGCGAGCGCTGGCTCGAGGGGAATGGTGTCGAGGTCGAGGATTCTACTGGCGATTATGTTTTTTTGAGTTTGTGAAGGATGTCGCTTTTTTTTTTTTTTTTTTTTTTTTTTTTTTTCACGATTTGTTTTGGTGTTGATAATGGGGGTATAGAGATAGATGGTTTGGAATGGGATTAAGGGATGGTTCGGGATGGACTAAAGGGAGTTTGGGAGATGTGAGATTCTAGATATGATTATGGGCTTATGTAGGCGGCTTTAATTATTCTTCTTAATGATCTGGACTGGGCGGAGGTTTACTTGCTGTTACTTGGGCTGTGGTGTTTTTTTCTAGTTGTAATGATTCCACGCTAGATGTTTTTTTGTAATTCAAGAAGTAGTACTATACATCCATGTTTCGGGTTCTAATATTTATAGTTATGGTTGGTGGTGGCCGAACTATCCACTCACCTGTGCCTCTTTTACGCCTCCTGAACGCCTTTCCAACTCACAAAAGAAGGTTCTCTCTGTGCAGGAAGCTGTTGTCTGCGCTGGATGGAGACAGCGTATAGATAAAGACAACTAGCCTAAATCAGGTAAGGGACACAAAGCTAGAACTGTGCCTGCTATAAATCCTTGTGGAGAAAGAGCACTGAGACTTAAGCTTGGACAGACATCGATATCGATACCAGCAACATCTCTATATATCTACAAGTATATCAGGCTTACACTCTGGGTCTGCGCAATTTTTGCAAATTATCAATTATCACATTAACTTCTCCAGTTGCCAATGCGTGCGCGTGCAATTGCTAAGATAATGGGAGGCCACGACGGGAACCGGTGAGTCGGCTCCCACAAATGATACTATGTAGCAACTCCACCCAAGAAGGACGAGACATATGAAGCATGACTTCAAAAGCCAATAGCGGTATGTCAAATTGCAAAAGCAGCCCTCACAACCAAAGCATCGACATCCTGCTACGCATGCTCGGCGTTTGATGGCAATTGAAGCATCTAACATACATTCTATATACACTAAACCCTATAGCTACATGTTAACACCAACAGTAAACACCACCAATTAGCTCCGCCATTCACCCACTACGAGAGCTTCAACAGAACTCTAACCAAACTACAACCTCAAGTGCAACCCAAACCTCCAAAGTACAACACCACTACAACTTACACCATCCACGCACCACCGCCATCATCCCCCATATCACCAACAGCCACAATGGAAACCCCCAACAACAACACATTCCACTGTGGCTACCGCCTCGCAATTGAGCACGTCCGCACCTCCATGCATCGAGCCCTCGGCCCCTCCATCACCTTGTACATGAACGTCGTGCTTGACCACGTTCTTAACGACTTTGAGTACCGGTTGCATGACAGGCCCGCAGGTGGCGGTGGTGCGCCTGTGGCGGTTGGGGCTTCTCCTGGAGGTGTTGCACAGGCCCTGGTTGGGACCGCTGTGCAGTCCGCTAATGTTTCCCCCACTAGCAGCGAGCTCGGTGGGAGGGTTGGGTACGAGCCTAGGCGTGTTGAAACCGCCAAACATGTTGCTCCTGCCAACCCCGTTGCTTCTACCAACGCCGCCTTCAAGGCCGCCCCCGCCAGGCCGCCTACCACTCCTACAAATCCCACCCCCACCAGATTCGGCGCCTCCGCAGTATCCTCCTGCGCCGGTGCCCCAGGCACTATAACTGTAGCCGCCTCTGAAATTGGCCCCATCGTACTATCCCCCGCCTCCTCACCCCCCGCCCCCTCCCCCGCCCCCGCCTACGCCGACGGCACTGCCACTTTCGTTCCCCTCTCTGCCGCCGAATACGCCGTGGCAAACAATCTGATCGACAATCGCGCCGGCAAAATCCTTCTCCCCTGGCCGCGTCTCCGCCCCGTCACCATGCGGGTTCAAAAAGCAATCAATGTCACCCGGCCAGTCAACCTTGAGGCCGTGCTTGCGCAATCGAGGGGCGTGAGGGCCGAAAGGGAGTGTGGGCCGTGCTCGAGGGGGAACGGGCCCTTTACCGAGTGTGTTGTTGTGCCGGGGATGCTTCGGGATAGCTGTAGCAATTGTCACTATAACCATACGAGCCAGAGGTGTACTTTTAGGGCTGGTAAGTCGAGGGTTTTGTTTGGTATATATTGGGTAGTGCTGACAACTGGTGCATGTAGCTCCGGCACCGCCTCTTACACCGAGTATGAAAAGTCCTGCTGAGGCTGCAAATGCTGGTGCAGGCTCTCCAGCGCAAAAGGTCTTGGAAGATGACGCCGAGCCTAGCAAGAAGCGGAAGTTTGATCACGAGCGGTGGGAGTTTATAGAAATAAAGGACGACGAATGAACATGCTGTTTTTTCGTCCGGTGTCTCTTGTTTGCACTGTATTTTTTTAACTCTTTTGTAATTACAGAGATTTCTGCAACTAGAGTATGCAAATAATAATCGAAATGAACCCTTGCATTTACACCGCCTATAATTAGCAGCGTAAGCTCTGTAAACGTTATATTGCAGGTGCAAATAGACTATGAGTATGTGCAAGCTCAGTATTCCACCCAAGAACCAAGACACACCCTTACAATCCCCCTGCACCAATTACTTCCAACAGTCGAGTCTTGCACTCCCAATAACCATCAGCCACAACAGTACACACCGCAAGTGTAAACCAAACCCCAACATGCAAACCACAGGCACCGAGTGCAAACACCCTTCCACCACCCAAACCGCACACCTCAACAATCCCCCCAGCATTGCACCCATTTTCACCCACCGCAGTAGAGGTGTCGTTGCTTGCACTTGCACTCGCTCTGCTTACATAATCCTAACAAGCAGTACCTACACCTAATGACTAATCCAAACACACCCCTGCCACCGGCTCCCACGTGACACCGCGGTACCGACGAGCTATGACTTCATCGCTCCACCACGTGTGGCGGGGCCTGAACAGCCGTGAAGCGTTTCGAGAACCACCCCGCTCTGGAGCTTACAAGAACCTATCTCTAAAGCACGGTCCAGCTAGATAGCCACCGAAGCTCCCCCCACCACCATTGACTCTTCCAGGCCACCATGTGCGGACGGTAACTGCCCCTAACCCCCCCACCCCCCCCAAACCGCCCACCATACTCACAGACAGCACAGATACGCCCTCGCCTACCCGCCCGCCGACCTCGCCCAGCGCCTGGTCGAGAACGGCCTCCCCGTGGACGAGGAGCCGCTCGCGCGCGAGGTGCGCAGCGGGTACAATGTTGCGCCGGGGAGCCACCAGCCTGTGTATCGTGCGCTTCCTGCGGGCGGCGGCGCGGGGGCGGGGGAGAAGGAGGGTACGGGGGAGGGTACGGGGGCTGGGGGAGGAACGAGGTTTGGGTTGACGGCGATGCGGTGGGGTTAGTGGTCTTTCTGTCTGTCTCTGTGTGTGTGTGAGAGAGTGGGGGGGGTGGGGGACGGTGGGAGCTGTTTTGGGGGGGGGGGGGGGGGCTGTGGAGTTGTAAGTTTTGGGTGGTTCACGCGGGGCCTATGGTTCCGTATAATACGGCACATCACCCCTCCACAGCTCCCTCCATAGCTTCCTTTATGGCTTCTCTTCACCGCTTCCCTCCACCGCTTCCTACTTCTATACTATACTATCACAGCTAACACCCGCAGGCCTAATCCCCTCCTGGTCCTGGCCCAGCACCACCACAAGCACCACCCCCACACCCCCACCCACAACCCTCACCACCATCAACTGCCGCGACACCTCCCTCCGCCACTCCACCGGCCTCTGGAGCACCCTCAAGCACACGCAGCGCTGCATCATCCCCGCCCAGGGCTTCTACGAATGGCACAAAACCGCCTCCCAGCAGCGGATCCCGCACTTCATCAAGCGGCGCGACGGCGGCCTCCTGTTTTTCGCCGGCCTGTGGGAGTCGCACACGCCCGCCTCGGGGGCGCCGTACTACTCGTACACGATCGTGACGACGGCGGCCGCGCCGGCGATGCGGTTCGTGCATGAGCGCATGCCGGTGGTGGTGGAGGCGGGGTCGGAGGAGATGCGGCTGTGGCTGGCGCCCGGCGTGCGCTGGGGGGAGCGGCTGCAGGGCGTGTGTGTGCCGTGGGGGGGCGAGCTGGAGGTGTATAGGGTCGCCATGGAGGTCGGGAATGTCAAGCGGGATGAGAGCTGGTTTGTGCAGCCGATTGGGGCGCTGAAGGGGGGGATTGAGAGCTTTTTTGGGGGGGCGGGTAAGGGGGAGAAGAGGGAGGCTGATGAGGGTGGAGCAGCAGCGGGTGGTGGTTTGATAGCAGGGGATAAAGTAAAGGCCGATACTAAGGTCGATAGTAAGACCGGGAGAGAGGCAGGAACAGAGAGTAAGTACCCCGCGCCCAACAGCGGCGCGGAAAACACCACGGAAATTAACAACAAGCAAGAGGCACACCCCAAAACCGAACCCCCCATCGACGACGAATGGGAGACCTGGCCAGAGGCCTTCAAAGCCGCGCACAACCCCGAAGAAGAATGGGAAACCTGGCCAGAAGAGGAATTCAAAGACGAAGCCTCCAGTGCCAATGATCCCCCAGAAGTCAAACCAGAACCCGCCTCAGGCACCCCCGAAAACAACGCCCCAAACACCACCACCACCACCACCACAGCAGCGCTCAAACGGGAGTATGATGACGCCGGCGACACCTCCTCGCCGCTGCCCGGGCCGCCGGCAAAGGTGTCAAAGACGGGCGAGACGCCGTGGGTGCGGTCTGCCACGAGTAATGCTGCGAACCGGAGGGGTGGTGGTGCTGGTGCTGGTAAGAAGATGGGGAAGGGCGTGAAGGATGGGACGCCGATGATTACGAATTTCTTCAAGAAGTAGGACCTGCATTTTATGTGTGCAGTTTAGCTTATAGGTAGTAATTGTAATATATATTCACGGGCAGGGTGCGTTTCGTTCCTGGTTGGTGGTTTGCTGCTGTGTGCGTTTGCTGGAGTTGGGCGGGCTGGGCGGGTACCTGATATGGATGCCGCTGTGGCTTCTACGTCCTCTACTGCCATATGCAGTCGGTATTGATAGATACACGTAGTTACCGCATGTAGCACCGTGCATGCCCTTTGCTCAAGGTGTGATGGGTGTCTGGGAGTGCCAAGCCTGCCCAAAAGTTAAAGGTTTGGCTCATTACATTGCCCATTCCACGTCTTCCCCCCCCCCCCCCCCACTCATCGTGGGCTCTGCACCAATATCCACCAGGCACCAGCCGAATACACATCTCTAGCCCACCCATGTCTTTTAAGAAACTCTCCAAAATAAACCGGCCTCGAATCTGAGGTCGTTCCGCGGTATAATCATTTCTTTTTCATGGTTAATTACAAGCGGATACTCAAACGAAAAGATGTATGGTCCTCGACACTTCCACTGTGTTTTAAAGGCCCGAACCTACTGCACCAGTACTCGCTCAAAATAGAGCACTACACTCCTCACACGGTCGGAATTCTGTGTGGGGGGTTGGTTACAACGGCCTCCAGCCTTTCGATTAACGAGCGAGGATATATATATAGATATGCCTCGGGCCCACGGATACTGTGCACAGCAACCCCCTAGACTCCCTCCTAATATCACTAGCTCGCTCCTCATTGGTTTCATTTTGGGGGTTAGGAAGATTAATTTGTGCGATGATAAAGGACAAGGTTGATGATGGGGAAATCGAGGAGAATCTAGTGGGGATTATTGCGGTAAAGGACTTGAGGTCTAGGTTATTAAGCAGAGCCCACGACCCCCCCACCCCCCCCGGGCGGGGGCCCATACTCACAAGGAAACAGTTATACTACATTAATAGAAGTTTACAAACGTCTATACGGCTATAAACAAGCAGCTGATAATGAATCCCTCTAGCCTGGGGGGGGGAAGCAAAAGCGAGTGATAGTTCATGACTGCGTGCGTATGTACTCTTCCGAAAACATTGCCCGTGTTACGTTATATCCTACCCTATTCCATTGGACTAATTTACTACACCTAATTATTGACATTTTACCGGGGTAGAGACTCTGTGTAAGATGTTTCCCATGGCTGCGACGGGGTTAATCACAGCTTATCACTCGACTTCCCCACTGATTGAATTTTTTTTTTTTCTTTTTTTTTTTTAACCGTTTAATTCACACTGATTGATTAATTGATTACTTCATTGATTGATTGATAATTCATTAGATTGATTACTTCATTAGTTATATGTACCGAAGATTGATTAGTTAGTTGATAATTCATCAAGTGGCTACCGAAGATGCGTGCTCCCAGTACCCCAAAGCCGAAACGCGCAGGACCACCGTCAACCCGAAGTTTCCATCTCAATTAAAAGATACGAAATATCTTGGCAATTTTATCAATCAATCAATCAAACAATCTTGGCAAGTTAGTTCATGTCATACGACCATTACCCATTCTTACGGTACTGATACCCATGAATACCAAAACCTATCCCCCCTCAACAAAAACCCTAATCAACAGATATATCGGACGTTTTGTCTGATAAGAAGAAATCTGGATACCCAGTGCCAACTTACAGCAGCCAAGTGCCCATGCAGCTCGATCTGGATTTGAAGCCCTGAGACTGTTTGGAGGTGCTCCTCCAAAATTGTTAAACAATCTTAGATTCTTGTATCGATCTATCTACAATCACGAAGCTCAGATCCAGAGGCGAAGGCTCGAGAGTCAACTCTGCATATCCACTCTGCCTTGGTTTTGTATTCTTGGGATTACAAAACTCTATTAGTGGTAAGCACGCACTTGGGCAAGAACCTGAGCTGGAACATTCTTCAATCGACTCTTACAAGCCCCCGGCCGTGTGCTCCCTTCGCATATTACGGTGCTCCATCACATCACATCACGCTCCGAGTATGCCAAGCCCTTCGGCACCAGTGCTTTTCTGGGAGACAAAACTTGTTTAACCCCCACACAGATCTCGAGACACCAAGAACGAGAAGAGCCCTTTGTTGGGGAAGATTCACACCAATAAGAGTACAACTAATTTAGGAAATCTAGAGATAACAGGATTGTGCGTTACCAGAGGCAAAAGGAGCCAATCCTCATTGTTGGACCAGGGTTTCATTGGCTGCGTTACTCTTATTTGATACATGATTAAGAGCAACTTTTCTAGGTGTAAACGTTCGAAGATCGAGAGTTTCACCAATACATGTTCTCTCCATGGTGGGCCACACTCAGCCCGAGGCATCTATTACTTCATTAGATTCTTAATTTATCTACATTTGTTTCTGTTGGTTATTCCCTCCTCCCGGATTCTTTATTTCTTGTGTGAACTCCGATCAACAGGGAGATCGTCAGATCCTGAAAAGGAGGATAATAAAACCGAGGTCCAGCTACTGTATTTCCGGTTTATGGTCCCTTAGAACCTTTCGATGTAGCTATGATCGTGGTTGTTGATATATTCACTTGTAGAATAAAGATATGCCATTATATCACATACATATAGAATCTATTCCCGAGCAACCTCTGTGGAGATGTGCTTGCAGTAGGGCTACCGCGCGCATCGCCGATATAATCCTCCTCGACGGATGCATAAATTTCGGCGAATGGGGTCCCTTATCCAGCCACTAGTGACGCCATCCAGGGACTAAAACGTATATACAGTTCCTAAAAGATCGACACGATCCTGGGGCAGGGTCCTATACCGTCCGCGAGGGGTCTTGTCGTAATTGACACTCCCGCTCCGTCCTGCGCCATATTTCCCCGATTTCCCCTGTCAATCGTCTCTCATGAGAGGAATGATATACACAAAATAAAGTTGATTTCCGCAGATCTCCAGGGACTTAATTCGTGACTTGTACAGCGTAGCCGGATCTTCGAAGCGGGGATATATATTTACCCTGCCAATGATCATATGCGCACATATGCAGATGTCCTTTCTAGAGTAAGTAAACCAAAATAAAACTCTTGGACAGAAGGTGTCTGTCGAAAGAGGTAAATGATGCCCAAAAATTGCAGTACTTTATTATAGAGCATATCAATTTGGAATCGGTCCGCCCCCCGCCCCCCCGTAAGAGACTGTCGGGTCGGCGCTTTCGTGGCCCCAGGGGTGAAAGTCTTCGCCAGTCCGGCGGAACAAATCGGTAAACATTTGCAAAAACTAGGAAATAAGTGGTTGGTATTCGGAAACCCGCCGCACCGCTAAGTTAACCCTTTTTGGCACACGACAGCGGGTGATTCGCCCAGATTCCCAGGGATCCGCTTCGCCTTACGTTTTGTTTGGCTCGATGTTCGAAAGAGAGATAAACTTATCCAGGCTACACAATGCGTCGATCAATGTTTCATCTAGATTACAATGCCAGATTAGATCTCAAATACTCTGGGTGAATGAAACATACAGCGTGAACCCCTAAGATGCGAGTGATTCCCCATGCGTAAATCTCACCCGCAAACCCCAATATCTACCGTGTTCTCACCGCAGTACTAACGTCTCCCTCTCCCGAGGCACAACGCTCCGATTGCCTCTTAACTCCCGAAATCAACTAAGCATCGGCAAGTAGTCCGAGTGAGAATCTATGAATACTGGTATGGCACACATAGTGGCGATCCCCGCGCTAAAACCGGCAATCCTGTCGATCCTTTCCTGAAAACCGGCCTAATGGTTAAGCGGAACGGAAGCCGTACGCCCGGCCGAGACAACACACGGAATAACCTAAAAGAATAATCTTAAAGGGTTCCAAGAGCTAGCAGCCCAGTCGTGTCGCTGCCTGCTCACCGTTCGTTCGTTCGCTTGCCTCGGCGGGAGGCAATTAAAAAAGACGCATCTCCGTGCATTTGGTCGGAGATTTCCAGAGTGACAGGTCTGGCGGTTGTGATACGCGCGTCTTTGCTGGATCTGATGCGCAACACATGTCTGTCACGCTATCAATTCCCTGATCCAGAAGGCCGGGCATTCTGGAAGGTATCATCGATCATCACTCTTGCATCGATCAACGTTCTGTGTAGTAGAAACTACCTTTCTGCTCTAGGTTCTCCTTGTTATTTCCCGCAACACAGCCCGCTTTCGAACAGAGATCGTTCTTACATGGGACGTTTTAAACTGCACTGCACACGGGTGACAGAGGGGGAAAACACACCGTGGGAGCCCTAGCCCTGAATCCATTGAGAGATGATTGTCATTTCGCACCAAGTTCCCTGGCATTGCTTGCCGTATGCAACTACCTAGAGTAGGTTCCTAGAGCACTTGAAGGTGTAAATCCTATAGTAGAGACAAAATGTTTATCTACTTCCTATAATCGAAGGAGCTGAACGTTCATTTGTTCCGCCCAGCCAACATTCCCAGCTATATTCTCACCTGTTAGCATTGGCAAGCCGCCGTGGAACAGCCAAAAGGGGCAATATACCCGAATTCAGGCTTGTGACTCGTCTTCACTACCATTGACGGATACCCATCACCGCTACGTAGACGAATAACCTTCCTCATGAACCTTCCCAAAACTCTTTTCATCGGGAGAAGATCTTGCGGCTCCCACTTAAGGCTGACCGACTGGCAATGACTCCAAGTGTAATAGTTGTTTACTTTGAGCCTTGGATCTGTATTATTATCATTGTCCTTGTTCCCACCAAAGCAACTGCATCCCGAGAAACACACCAGAGACAGCATTGAAACCTTAAAGTCCTTCTGGACTTCCGATTTGCTGAGGTTCACGACTAATCACTCGCTGCGGGTGTACGGAAATCTAAATCCAAACGGTATTTCTAGATGAGACCCGCCAAGAGAATCCAAAAGTAAAAATTAGGTAGAGTATGTATCCAAGAAAGAAAATTCGTCACGCGCTTCCCACGAGTTTGGGATAGCCCCGATGCGATGCGGGTGCATAGGGTGCATCTAGAATGTGCAGCAAACCTCATGCATAGAGTGGAAACTCAGGACACTACTCAGGATTAGCCGGGTCTCCCATTAGATACTCTAAGGATCATGGGGGGACGTGGAAATTACGAGTGTCACTTATTCATTCAGCATTAGGTACTTCCGACGGTGATAAGAACGGGGTAGGTAGAGTAACTTTTAAACCGTGCTGTCACCAGCTGAGAGTGAAAGAATCACGAGAACCTCTCCTGCAGTTGGGATCAGGAATCGAAAGCCTGGGACAAAGTACCTACATACCACTTGTCGCAAGCGATCTCGTGTGATCTCCAGACCCAAGAAGACAACAGTATGAGTACACTCGGCGACAGAAATCCAAGGACCCTGCGTTCGGGAGTAGGCACATAACATGTACTAGTCACACCATTATAGCTAAATAGAAGGCGCCGACGGGGAGAAGATCGGGGGGTTGGTACCGTGGTAAACGCGTTGGGTTGCGTGGGGTGCGGCGCAACTGACAACGCAGCCGGAGGCCGAGGATTCTGTAACGAGTTCCCCGACAAATCATGCTACAATTGCAATTACCATAGCGAGAAAACCCCGTACACAGGTTACAAGTACCATATGAGTACTAGATACATACCTCAAGAGAAGGCCAGTTAGTTGGTGTGAGTTATTAATTGGGTTAGTTAGGGTTAATTTGGTTATTGTATCCTTTCCAGCCTCGATCCATACGCATCACGAGATGCACACTATATGCCCGTCTTGTATCGTGACAAAAACCAAATGGTGATCCAAAAGTCGAAGAAATCGGTTTTCTATTTGGAGCTAGAAGGCTGGCCTCCTGGCGTAGGTAATCCGCGGTAACAATCCATAGTCGTGCTATGTGTTTCCATCGGAAGAAACAACTCTTTGGATTCTGGACATAGGGGATTCACACCCAATAGCTAATTATTGGTCCTTGCAAGACGAGGGAGCTTCTTTACCACGTTATACGTTCCACGATCCATGACCACCATGCCGCGGGAAAGGGAAAAAAGCAAAAACGGTTCCTCAAGAAGAAAACACTCGATGAGGACACCAAGATCCCGATCCACGATCCCCATGCACCCCGCACAATACGAATTTTTCTTTTCCCCGGACTTTTATGCAGTCCCAAAACTCTGATTTTTTGTACTGTCTGTATGGAGAATATGGAATGTGGTATGTTCTCCATCTAGATCGAAGGAGGAAATGAGACTTTCGCAAGGAGTAACGCGGTCGTGAGAAGCACATGACTGACTGAATGTGTTTGCTTGCCTTCACATATCATATCATGTAACGTAGTTGTGGTTCACATGGTGGCTAGAAATCCGTTGTGTAACTGCTATTTGGAGTAGGTGCTCGAGGTGTGTATGCGGTATGCCGGCCTTCCAATAAGATGTAAGTAAGTAATAATACATAATAAGCGATCGAACGAGTGAAAAACAACAGTATGGCCCACATACCTAGATCCACGGATTCTTGCAGAAATCGAGAGTGAAACAAGAAGAATAATTTCGGAGGTAAGTGAGCCGATTATGCTTTGCAAAATTGTGTGTAAAGTGTGTTGGTAAAAACTGCCATCTTCGGTGGCGTAGTACCGTACGGCTAGCTGCCGGACCGATATTTTGGGAATGGTTTGAGATAAGCGACTGCACAAGCTTTCTTGGTAAGTGATGTCTAACCTTAAAACCAAATTTGATCGGCCCGCACCACCCAAGACATGGAGTGGTGGCATGGCACTGAGCCTCATATGCATCGTCATCGTGCCTTAATTGTGAACTTCAACTTCAACTCATGAAAACCAACACAGGGCGTACAATTATCAATTGCCAGCCGCATGAATGCTGGGTTATATCATACCTTGCAATATATCTCACTGGCTGATCAACTGATTCGCCGACTGAGACAAGTCCATCTTGAGCACCTATCCGGGGGAGCAGCGTGAGGCAAATCTGTAAGTACGTGCGGTTAGGCGGGTACGCACATGTCGATCACATTGGTAACGAAGGGAGGGACTCGCCTAACTATTACAGGTAAATCCTGGGGAAAGAAAGGTCCAGCCCGGAATCCTTACTGGCAGTCTTCTCTACTCCATGGCATTAACAACGATAGTTTCTCCGTTGCGAAACCGAATAGAGACACACTTAGTTCTACGAATGTGGTCACTCGGATTCTTAGAGCGGTCTCGAGGACGTGATCAAGATGAAGGAAGACTTGTGATTGGTGGCATGCCTTCTGGTGGTTCTATTTATAGTAGCATAGCTACATGTATGTAGGTATCTTTTGTGATGTACCTCCAATGCATCGTGTCCTCAAGACTGTTCTACAGATTGTTTCCCCTCATGCTTGCTTGCCTGTACCACTCTTCTGCTCGAGAGTATGTAGGCACATACACTCCAGCCACCCACGATACCGATACCGTGTTTTTACTCTCCCAGCTGTGCATGCATGCATGCACTCAATCTATTCTCCAGAATTCTTGGCCGCCTGATGTATGAATATGTATCATAGTGGAGGTATGTATCGATGGGCAGTTGAACGGTGGTGTTACTGAGGCTTTCAGAAATGCCAACGCTAATCTATCTTCTAATCAACTAGACCAGATAGCTTGCCGTGTTCTGTAACGTTACTACTGTCCACCACAACTCAGATGCCGGGAGGTTTTGGCGGGGATTTTGTGGCAGCTCCATTATTCTACAAAGGACCGGTAATGATATTAAAAAGCTCATTATTAAATTCCCTCGTAGAGTACATCGATCTCGATTGCTAGCGAGGGATTGCACGACTTTTGCCAACTGCAATGGGCTGATTGATGCCTACATGCACCCTGGCGTTATTTTCAGTCAGGTCATCGGAGCTCGGCGTGTGAGGAAGGAACCTCCCTCGGCACACTCGACTTCCCGGGGAAACGGAGTTAACCCGGACAAAAAAGATGAGAGCTCATCCGACTTTTACCGCGGCGGTCAGCTGAACAGACCGCACCGGTATGCGTTTTCCCGTGCCTCTCTCCGTACTTTGTTTCAAGGCTTCATCCCCCCCCTCCTTCTGCTACGTGCTAGCTGATAGATAGTGGGGAAACCCCCAACGGTCCATTTCGCAACTCTGTTGAAAGGGTATCCAGCGTATCATGGGCAGGAAGAGTCATGGTCAAACATACCCCTCCTTCGTTGCTCCTCTCAAAATGTGTCACACCAGCCTTGAATCTGGGTACTCGCACAACTAATTCCTATGATTCATGAAAGAACCGAAGAAACACCGCCGGGCTGCCAAAAACAAAGTAATACACGAGTCAAATTCCGATAATCTTGATAGCTAATCAACTACAACTAAACTAACTAGTTTGTCATTCACAGGCAGGAAGTTGCCACACTCGCAGCCCTAGATTGGGCATCGCATGCTTTTCTCAATCTAATATGCACCCTATCCATAGATTTCTGATATCACAAATTCACAGCAAGAGTAGGGGATTTGTTACATGCACAACATAATCCCGGCGCCAACTAGATTATCTGCATGTTGTACCTGACGTCTGCATGTAATTTCAAGATAGGCAAAGTTCCTGCTGCGAACGCATGGAAGGGCAGTGGGATGTGTTTCTTGAATGAGTGCAGTGGCTACTGCAAAATCTGAATTTGGATAACAGCTGGCGCTGGGTCATTGGTAATTTTTTAATTTCCTCACCTTGCTTCTGGGACATTCTGGTAAGTGTTGGAATGAATGAGTTTTAAACTCAACACTGTGGCTGCCACGAATGCTCTTAGGAAAGTACTAGCGCTGTTATCCGAGGGAATTAATTCTTTTTCCTTCCACCTCTTGCTTCCTCCACCTCATCCTTCTTCCCCGGTATCTCCACAATTGCGGAGTAACCACGAATTTAGCGGGAGTCTCTAGGCGGTTTTCTGAAATGAATTCTGCCCCCGTGAGCAATTGCGAAACGAAAAAAAAAAAAAAAAAAAAAAAAAAAAACACTATCGATAGCGAAGCGAGATACGTCATGTATTCTGTTTTCCAAACGGCAGTTGTTTCCTTTCTGCTTTTGTGGATTCTTTTCTGTACCTACATTAGTCTCTATCATAAATTATAAAAATACATACGAGAATAATTATTATATATGGCGCGAGAAGGCATAGGGGGTGGGTGTGTCAACTTCAGAGGAACCTTTTTTGTATGGGAATTAGAGAAAAATTCCACCGTTAGGCTAGGCGCTAGTACCATTATGGGAGTAGATCTCCCAATTTCTATAGATTGATTGGCTACAAACGCCGAAGTTTACACACCTACCCACCATAGCTTCTCGACCCATAGATAAAAATAAGTTTATCCCGCGCTGCCGGTTTCCCTCCGGTCCAGAAGATCCGACAGCCCCGCCGGTTCCACAGACAAGTGTCGGACCGAACCGAGACCACGATGATCCATTTAGGTTCCGGACGGGAGGGTTCTTGCTTTCGCTATCTCACATGTCAGATTTTTTTATATAAACCAGACAAAGGATTGCAGCTGTAGATAAGGCTCCACCTAGGTCATCCTTTGCGTCATGTATCAACACATCTCTTGCGTAGTGTTGAGATAGGATCCGGTTATGAACGTCAAGCATCGATAAGAAGAGACCCGGTTCCAAGGGCGCAAGTTGTCTTTAGAATTTAGAATAGAATTTTGGGAGCGTTTTCCTGCCAGTGACATCTGAATGAAATAACAGAATAAGCGTCAATCCCCTAGTGGAGAAGAAGAAGGAAGGGGGGAGGGGAGGGGGGAGAAGCCGGTTAAACGTCCAGGATTGTGCGTGTATCATGTAGGTTAATGAAAATCTTTCTTATTGTTCTTGTGCCTCTCGAGCATATCTCACGCCCAAGAACATGTAGACTACTCTATCCTGTCATTCACATGTCACCAGTAGGAAAATCCCAAAGTCAACTTGCGTCTTTAAGTTTTTGCAATGATGCAGCCTCCCATCGATAAGGATAGAAGGCAACCTTCTGCAAGTTGCAAATCAAATGAGGTTGAAAGCTTAGGAGCTGTAAGGCAGAGCCAGAGCAGTATCTAGAGCACCTGTAGTATAGTAAGCGCCACGGTGTTCAGGCCGATCAATCCCTAACATGGCGGCGTCGTTCTTCTTTTTCTTGAGGGTGTGGTCGAGCCTGTCTGTGCGCTTGGCGTGCATGCAAAAATAGATTGCATGCGTCCGAGTTTTCGCGTTCGCCTGCCCTTCGAAGCGGAATGGGCAATTTTTTTTCACTCTCTTGAACCACCCATGGCGAAAAGCGAAGGGGAGAACTCCATAACGGCCTGGACCAGTGCTTGCTCCGTAATTTTTTGCGTGGCGTGGGGGAGGAAGGAGGAGGGGCCGGGGGGTTGGGTGTGGGGATAGGTATTTGCGGACACGGAATTGAAGAGGTTGAGGGTTGCTTGCTTCTAGTGTAGCTTGTATCTAAGCTACTTCTAACTGCATGTACCCTAATAGCACTGCTTACAAGTATCAAGACATGGGGAAGAAGAACGAGGAGGTTGAGGTATCGGAGGCTCCCGTTTAAGTGCTTTTTTTCTTCTTCACGACACTTCTTCTTAATTCCTTCTTGGCCCAGGTGTTGGAGTTGAGTGAGTAACCCAATAGACGATATCCAACCACCTCGAGAATGAGATCTTTGACGAATTTCTTCTCGTTAGAAAGACAGCACATATGTATGCCGCTGCTGCTGTTGAGGCAGGCAAACAAGCGAAATGTGCAGTAGCGGGGGGTAATATGGGAAGTACGATATGTAAGGCAGGTGATTGTGGGGTGACCGGCAACGACCAACGACAAACGACCAGGACTGAGTGAGACAACAAGCATTGGCTGCAGGCGCACGGGGCACAGTGAGGAAAGGATTAGATTTGATTGATCCGTCTGCCCTCCGTTTCTGCTTCCTTCCCCAACTGCTTCCTTTATTTCTTCTTTTCCAACTGGGATCTTTGAGATGGGATGGGATGTGGTGGAGCGTTGCATTGCAGCAAGCAGCGCAGCGAGATATGAGATGGGGTGTAGCGCGTGACTTGGTGCCTGTTTTAACTTGGGGAGGGGGTCCAGAGGAACATCGTGCTTATGTACCTACTACCTACATTGCATAAAAACTATGTTTCCCCGTTATTTTCCTTTTCTTCCGTTTCCAATCATTGATACCCAGCATCACCGGGGGAATATGAAACAGGATATATGTAGAACAGGTACAACGACATACGGTAACATTCCTGTGTGTGATAACTGCTGCTGTTGCTGTGTGCCGAGTACAGTAGGTACATACTGGCCCTCAGTATAGCACTACTAGATGTAGAGTAGTAGTACTCCACGACAGCTGTTTAAATTCGGGAAGTGTTCGTATCGCCGAGTCAACCGCCAGTGGCACCAGTGTGGAGAATCGAGATGAAAGAGAAATGTTAAGGGGCGGGAGTGGGAGGCTGCCTAGGACAGACAGTTAATTCACATGGTGGAGAGGCTCCTCGTCTCCTAGGCATGTCGTAGCGTTGATGAGTATGATATGTGGAGTGGACTGGCCATGGGGGAGCTTAGTATATCGCTTAGTGCTCCCAACCTAGACTAGGCAGAAGACCGGCCTGGTTGCTCTAATGCCGTGTTGCAGTCAGGGCGCAATTGGCTGCGTTACTCCCATACAGCTCCCATGCTGCTGGTTGCTGGTAGAGTACTAGTAGCAGTATAGTACTCCTGTAGACGAGAGTAGAGTACCTTAGACTCTGGATTCGCACCTGCTGGATTTAACGAGTCGTCTACGGATTACAAGTACATACCTAGAGTAGAGGTACTCACTCTGGAGTACTTGACTTCTGTGCTCAATGTGCGTGTGCTCACATGTACCTAAAGTAAAGTTCATCAAATGAACACGCAAAGCCTATAATTGGATCCTATATAGCCCAATTCCAGTTCCAGGAATGAAAAGACCCGACCCGTGCGGAGAGAACTGCAATTGAGTTGCCTAGGCGTAGGACAGTCAACGTGAGTAGGCAATACACGGACGGGAGTTGTGATGCAGAAGGGACAGCGAAAGCTTTGTTGAATTTTCAACACAGCTGAGTGAGAAGACATGAGGTATCAATTCATCTGCAAAAAGAATCACAAGAGGAATCAGTAAGGCAAGGGAGTCTTGAAAGTGTTTGGTGTTGTATGTCTAGATCGAAGTCTACAACTACGGGATAACGTTCCTCCTGTCTCCGTAATTGAGAACTAGCAGATCTTTGTTGTCATCTGCTCTCTGGCGTCTTCTCAAATCACGTTCTTGCTCGGGGGATTGCTCATCGACCTCCATCTTTCTCTCTACTTTCTCACCGTGCCCCTTCTCTCTACTGTTATATCCCTATTCTTTTCCGGGGAAAAAACTCAATTGCAATTGCTCACACCCCTGAACTATCATTATTGCTATTGTTACTGTAACTGGCCCTACTTTTACGCCACTCGCTCGTTCGCCGCCCCGCTGAACTGTGTCCAAATATTGCCATCATTCTTCTTTTAGCTGCAATTGTGGGGAGCATTGTCAATCAGTCAGCTAGACGGACGCAATAGCCTCTCCTCTTTGAGGTCTAAAACAGCGTTTGTGCCCATCTTTCTCCCTTTGCATAATCCATCTCCATTCTTCCCTTTTCTTCACTTCTGCCCGGCCCCTTGCTTTTGAAACCCCATTGCTCTAGATTTCTCCCATTCGCCCTACAATTCTCAACAGCCGAGAACGTTCGCCGTTCTTTGAATTGCTTCCCCACTGTTCGCTGCCAGCGGGCAACCACTTCCCGGAGATACCCATAAACTCGAATAACATCCCATTGCCTCATTCACCGGCAGAAATCGTTATCCAGCCTATCCGGCACTCGATATTGTGTTTTAAAAAAGCAAAAAAATAACATCCTGGAGGTTTGCAGCCGAACAGAGAGCAAAAAAAAGACCATCATAAAAGTCGAACAAAGAGGCCACACTCCACGCGCACAGGGTTTCACACACACACAGCAGCGCCCTCACACCACACACAACCCACCACACACACACTGCATAACGCTCTCCAAAGCTACCGGCCGGGATTTGCACCAGCGGCTCTTTATCCATCCTTCTTTGAAAAGACGTGCGTGAAAGTGTGTCGGATAAGAAACCGACAGCAGGAAAAAAAACTAAATAATTCAAACTACACGGAAAAAGTAGGAGTATTTCTCCTCGAGCAATAGTCTAGGGGTGGTAGCCAACGTGTCACAGGAATTTTTCAACTGCGTAAAACAAAACCAAAAAAAACCGGATCCCCTCCTCTTCTTCTTCTCGATCCCCTTATTACTGCTTCTTGCATCCCCCCGCAACGGAGAAAAGCACCAGCAAAAAGTATTCGAATCGAACCGATCGAGATTGAGGAAAACGGAACTGGACTACAAACGATTTAACACCAGGGGCATCAAGCAAAGAACCTGGAAACCTCCCCACACATTTCTGCCCAGTTACCAAAGACTGAATTAGGGTAGACACCTTTGGCAGGGCCCAGGGCACTTCTCCATATCCATTCGTTGGTTCCCATAGGTCAGCAACGAGTAGTACTCGTAAAATTCCTTGCTAGATACAAACGGTCATACGGCTCCACCAAGAAAACCGGGACACACTTCGTGGGGAGCGGCGTCATCCGTCACCACGGAAGTCACTTCGATTGGACCTGCTCCGTAAAGATACCCGTTTTTATTTGGTTGTAAAGCAAACAAACGGTACGCCTTGCCTCCCATTACGCGAGCTCATTTCGTCATTCCAGAGTCTTAGTTTTTTAATCTCTTCTGCCTACACATGATCTTTTACTTCCTTTTTCTTCACAACTCGCACAAAATTTGTTTCTGACATGGTGTGATCGAAAGCAGATTCTCTTGGAATTTATTTTTGCTTTTTGTTTCATTTTTTTCTTCAAGTAGCTCCCCGTGTCACCCGCGTGGTACTTAGTCCTTGCCTTCCCCGGATTTACCTTGTCTTATCTGCGTCTTCTCCAACCCCCCCATCCCACAACTCCGACTCATCCATCGGAACGGAGAAATCTACTTTCATAAATAGCAATCCGTGAATCTATCTCATCTACCTCGCCAGATACCCATTATTACTACAACGAACTACCACAGCAATCCCCCCCCCCCCCAACCCCCAAACGAGGTCCCACTGCGAAATGGGACTCAACCCTCTACAGAACGCTACCCCTCGGCAGCAAATCCCAAACGAAGCTCCAAGCTTCTTCTCCCCATTCTTTGAGCAACCAGGAACGTCTGCTAGACTCTCCGTATGGCAGCCGCCACCTGTTGAGACAGCTCCTCGGTCGAAAGCTCCCAACAACAGGCCATTGCAACCTCCTCAGATTCCTACCGTCGGCGCCACAACCCATACTACTCGCTTGACCATTCACTCAAGGAACACCAGCGCAGATGATGGGAGGAAGAAACTCTACGAGCCGAAGGAGAAGAAGAGCATGGACGAGATCATGTGGCTGGGTTCTGTGACTGGATTCCTTCCCCCAATCCCTCCCCCAATGAGAGTTGAAGCTTCTCTCCGGAGCAAGCTGGTTAGAAAACCGGAGGACAAAACAAGTCAGGCCAGTGCCCTTACCCAGGCAACCCGAAAGAGACTACTCGAGGCAGCAAAATCAGAGGAAGAGAAGGCGGCAGAGGCAAAAAAGATAGCAGATGAGGCCGCAAGGGAAAAGAGGTTACTGGAGTGGGCAACCAAAAAGAATGTGGCGCCGAAGAAGGTTTCAGTGGAAGAGAAGAAGCCTACACCCGCAGTGATTCCCTTCCCCCAGCCTGTAGAAACGACCTCGAAATCAACTGCTCCAGGTGGTGTACGATCCTCAGGAAGACGCGGTAAGGTATTCATGCCAGTACCTCAGCCGATCGAAACCATCAGGAGGAGCAATCGACCAAACTCAAACCATCGCCCCAACCTACCTGACAACGTTTCGTCGTACGCTCCCAGCAATCCCATCCTTCCTCAGCCAATTGAGACGACAAAGCGCAGCCACCGCCCTGAGAAGCCCCCGGTGAAGAACAAGAAGAGCGAGGAGGAGACTTTATGGATGGGTCTACCCCAGCCCGTTGAAACTGTGCGGAGGAGCAACAGGAGAAGTCCTCTGAGCAAGGACGATGAGGGTGCTGAGGTAGGTAAGAGAGCACAGGTATCGCCAAAGCACTCGGCCCGACACTCGACCATCTCGCCGAAGGGGACAATGTTCGCCCCACAGCCCGTGGAGGTCAACAAAAAAACCAACAGACCCGATTCCATCCAACTTCCGCAACCCATGGAAGTTACCAGGAGGTCAAACCGGCCCATTGCACCCCCGATCCAGAAGCCGGATGGACCTCCTACACCCACTACCTCCTTTTTTGGCCCCATGACACCGACCCAAGCGCCATCATCACCGCTGCCCGTACCTTTCGAGAGCACCAGACGCTCACACCGTCCCATCTCGGGTAGACCCCTGGTACCGCAACCGATCGAGACCTCCCGCAGGTCAAACCGCATCAGGGTTCCTCTACCGGAGATGCAGATTGACTCGAACCAGCAACAGCCCCTGCCGAATGAGTTGCCACAGCCTGTCTCGGTTTCAAGGTGGACTAACCGCGAAAAAGCTGGCGCGAGACATCTCCGAAGAACAAGCACCGACAAACCTGACACTCCCGGACTGTATAACACCGCCCCATTCGTACGGGATAGAGAAAGAGAAAGACGGTTGGTCAAGAAGACCTGGGTTCGGCCTATCGATCACGTGTCGCATCTTCACGAACCGATTGACTCTGCCCCGCCAAGTCCAATGGTCAGCCCTCAAAGCTCTAGATGTCCCAGCTTGAGCTCATCACCAACATCATCGGCCGCGAGCTCGACATGGGATGTCGCTTCCAAGGTCAGCAAAGCATCGCGTAGTCACGACAGGCGAGAGTCACTGGATGAAGGTTTTGCTGGATATATTCTTGGGTTGGAGCGGGGGTTGAAGAAGAACGGTGCACTGGGGACTGCCGGGCGCGAGCGGGAGAGGGCCAAAGAAGAGTCAGAATACCCCTTCCCCGTCGTCACGGAGGATGTAAACAAGCACGACGATAAGAGAATCCGAACCGAGGCTAGCGACCCTGGTCCATCCTCCGGAGCCCGAAGCGAAAGCTCCGAGACCATCCGCCCAAGGTTGACAGCTATCAACACAGACCCTGGCATTCTCGAAACTAAGCAGACAGAAGAGGAGCAGGACTATCCGATATGTCACTCACCTGTTTACTCGCGCTTTAAGGTACCCGTCCCGGAGCCTGAGCCACTTTTCCTCGACCATGAACACGAGGAGAAACCGCACAAGGGTTTCAACAACACACGCATTTCTACTGAAGATCTTGCGATGGCAAAGCCGATCGGTATTGCGGTCAACAAAGGAAACGCCCAGCTCCCAACACCCCCGGATTCTTTTGAATCGACAACATCGAAAATGCTCTCACCCACATTAGCTTTGGCAATTGCCGGGGGCCCTCAAACTGCACCTGCCCGCGTTTCATATGCGCCTATGTCTCCATCACCAGGTTACACTGTTGCCTCGCTGCCACCAGCAAAGAAGCATGACAATGTCGACGCTGCCGAGGTTGCTGAAGAACTCGTCTACGGTGTCATGCGATATCTCAGCTTAGAATTCGAGAACGTGGGACGAAAGTATGACGACGAACTTTCGTTGTTCACTGGTCTGTCGAAGGAGTTGGTTAGGAAAGATCGCAAGTTTGCGGTCAAAAAATATGTGGAAAGATGGGTCAGGGAGAACCCAGAAATCGAATGCGGCGAAAAGAAGAAGGGTGGTTTGTGGTAAACGGTGACCAGTGACCAGCGGGGTTTAACTTTCTTATGTTCGCCGAATAAATAATTCATAGTATGGGCGTGTACTCCTTTTTCTTTTTTACACCTTCCTTTTTTCATTTTATTTGTCAATTCACCATTACGTTTTGTCTGTTCTTGAAGGGATCAAATATCTCTAGGGGTCATGGTTTTTATTCATTGTTGGGTTCTTGGGTCTTTTTCTTATTGTGCAGTTTTCTACGGCTTTTTCCTTAAATGGTTCATATGGGGTCTGTTGTTGTTGATTGATTGGCGGCATCGCGGGGTTACTTGTTTTGCTACTTTTACATAGTGTATTTTCGTTCAAAGAGCGCGTGCGGAAGTTGACGGGTTTGGGCTGTCTTTGATGGAAAGGGAGATTCATCATGGTTGTGCTTTTGGTTCACGGTTTTTTCTTTTCACGACAGTGAAATATTTTTCGTTCCTCGTTCCATTTCCTTTTTCATACGGAATTTCCTTTCTTGTGCAGTCTAGGGGGTTTTTCTTGTTCATTTCTTCTCTTCTGCAAACGGTTGCGTTCCAATTTCTTGTTCGGTTTTTTTTTTTCGAAAACAATTATTGTCAGGTGGATGAGGGGGATTTACATACATATGTTTATTATATCAAATCTGCACATTATCTGCGTATCGTTTGTCTTGCCTGCATGTTTCATCCACTTCGCCCTACTACACTGGGATATGTATTCGCGTTTTAATTTCATTTATCTTTCGGAAAAGGGACGGCATGGATTAGGGTTCAAGTTCAGGTTCATGAACAACGGCAGGGGATGGGGGCAAGGGATGGACTCGGTAACGGGGGGGTACACGATAATGAATACCCAGGGATATTAGAGAATGTCGTGCGCGGGGGAAGGAGGGGGGGTGAGGGGCGGAGAGTGGGAGGAAAAGAGGCATATAATTTGCACAATACCGGAGCGGGTTTATGGGCCGACTAATGTAGAGGTTTGTATGGTTGGGGGTTGGGATGGGATATTTTTCTTTCTTAATTTGGTATCTGTTTGAAATCCTCTTTTTTTTTCGTAACACGCGCTTTTTGCTCTTAATATAATAATTAATGTTACGAGTTTCGAGTTCAGGGAGATCATTTGTGTCGTGTGTGTGTGTGTGCTGCTGGCCGGGGGTCTAGAGGAATGTTGGAAGGATATTTCGGAAACTGCCAGAACTAAAAAAGCTGGTTTGGCTCGCCGAGCTCTATAAATGTATCGTCGAATAAACCGAGTGATACAATCTGATCCCAAATACAAAATTCTCCGATCCCGTCCATTCGTATCCATCGTGATATGAGTCATGCAGCCCTGCCTTGGCGCCAAAGTTGTTCATGTCGCGTCACTCGCAATATCAACCGAGCCCAGAATAAGCCGAACGGACGGAAACGATTACCGGTATATTATTTTTTGATGGACAGGGTGGACGACAGAGGCGGGAACACATGCTGGGTGCGCGCGTGGATGAATATCATCGAGTAGGAAAATATAGGAGGGTTGTTCACTTTAAGCGGTGAGTGGCATACAGGAAAGATGAGCGCATGGGATGGGGCCGTGGGAATGGTGGGGTCTGGTAGGTGGGATAAGGTGGATGGTGGGATACGAGGCTTGAGAGAGGGAGGGGTGATAGTTACACAAGTATAACCAATGCCCATCAGTCTCACAGGATGCGTATCTTACCCTTAGTTACACTCTTCGAGGACATGATAAGGAGGTGTCGATACGTGTAGTCCTCCGGAATGGTACCTTATCAGTTACTTGACACGAGAAGCAAATCCACCGAGTATATCTCCACCTGAGGATTTAGTTGGAGGTACAGAAAACTCCACGTATCGCCTGAAAGAAAAGGCCTCCATAATTTCACAGCCATATTTCAAAAGATTTTGACCCGCTTTCAATATTTGCTATTTCGCGCAATTTTGAGATAAACCTCAGACTGAGTTAAGAGCCCTCATCTCTCCCAATATTTCTCCTATCTTCTCCAGAAAAGGCCCTGTCGTTATAACTGCCTGGCCACTAGCTGGAGGAACCGGAAGTTCTACAAACTCTTTCAGTATCTGGACTTTTCCAGCTACCTTTAAGTAGGGGTCCATCAACGCCTCCAAATACCATAGTGGAACTTCCACGGTGTAGAAATATACCGCGGCTAGTGTGGGATGCGGCGTGATAAGATGCACCTTCACCACCATAAGCTCACCCACAAACTAGTTCATATCGGGTAGGGGTGATGAACCTTTAGTATCTTAGGAGAGGTCAGATTGGATCTGCAAAACCAAGAATGCTGTTCCTGAGCGATGGCAAGCGCAGCAGCAACATTATACGGATCTACGACATCAAGCTCGAAGTCGAGATTAACCACGGTTTGTTTTAACAACCACTCAATGTCGGCACCCGCATGTGTGTTTGTAAAATTCTGGCGGAGAGTATATATGGTCCCTGGGCAATTATATATGAGGAACGGGAAGCCTTTTCGGGTACGTATAACCAGTTCGGGGTGAATTTGCATAACATGGTTTAAGAATGTGAAGAGTGGACTTGGAGGCTTAGGACGTTGACTACATTCATCAAATTTATTCAGTCTGTTAGTTTGAAGCACTGATATGTGAGTGGCGGGGAACGGTAAGTAACTTGGATTTGTTGTTTACTCTTGTGAATAGAATCTGAACGGTCTAGGTTTTAGCGCTTTCTGGAATGAGTTGATTGTACGGGCGATAAATGAGGCCAAATAAGTCTCAAGAAGATTCATATCCTGGAGTATATATCTGAGATCTCGGGATCCTATGAACCCATGGCTCACTGTGGTGGGCCTTCTATCCTTTCGGGGATGATCGGCGGTCTCCGCAGTGGCAGTAGAGATGGATATGTGAAATGCGTCTAGATGGCCAAGGCGCCAGAGTAGTGGATGCACCCATATTGGAGTTCGTGTCGTTACGCGGAGGGGGTCTATGAGTGACATTCGAAAAGATCTAAGTAGAGTTCGGATATCCTGGTGTTGACGATGCTATGTTGACACTCGACGTTCGTTACTACCACACCTGTGGCGTGTGGCGTGTGGCTAAGCTAAGAGTCTTCCGCTATTAGGCCTATGTAGATCTAATAAGTATGTAGGCTTTGATTACTGACAAGTCGTCAGTTCTAAATTGATAGTGTTCGTAGTGTCGTTGATATAGAGCTACTCACATTTCGTATGATTTAGAAAGAGCAAAAAGTATTCTGACAGACTTCGGGAATCTGGTTAGTCTATCGATTCGGTGGTTTAATTCGTTTGAACCTTCCCAATAGTAGTGTGCTTCTTTAGGGCAGGCAGTTAGATTTTAATATTTTTGCAATTTGAAAATGAGTTGAATTCAAGGAGTAGCGATGGAGTAACTAGATGGAAGGGAATGCCTGGACAGAGGTAGAGACGAGAGGAGGGGAAAGAAGAAACGTATGCGTACTTTCCACGTTCCCCTATGTGTGTACCTACTGTTAAACAGACCATAGTAAAGAAGTACATGCATGTTCTTAATCCCAACTCTTTTGAGGCTGAGTGACCCGTGATATGTATCTTAGCTTAGGTGGTATCAAGAAAGTAAAGTTATATGTAAGCTCATAACGGCCCACTGCTTTGAGCGTTGTTCCCCATTTTGTGTAAGTAGCCATAAACCGAAAATCGTTCAATTGAGTCATTTCTTCACTCCAATCCCCTAATATAATACATGCATGTAGCTCCATGCACTTAGTATGTAGGTACGTAGGTTAGTAGTATAACTATTTCCCCGTTTCAACTAAAATGAATAGTAAAACTCTTACTATACTATTGGTTCTATTCCGGGTATGTCTGCCCTTAGCCAATTGGTAGTCTCCCCGTGTAGGTTCCTTGATCCAGCTGAGTAGAGCGGGTTTCTAGGCTTTGCTTTTTTTATAGCAGATACATGTACTTAAACGTAGATAGTACATGGTTCCAACTGAGTGATAAATTAAAGTAACCTAGTGAATGCTTGGACAATGAAACGTACCCTAAATAACTTTGAATTTGCCGATCGGATGGTATATGAAGACAGTATGTATCTGCGGGTGGTGCGTTTGAAGCTTGATCAAATATTTGATTATATATTTAAAAGCACAGTGTGTATACAAGTTCTCCGTGGCGCAATTGGTTAGCGCGTCCGACTGTTACTGTCACAGTTTCATCGGGAGGTTGGAAGTTCAAGCCTTCCCGGGGAAGTATTTTTTGTTTCTACGTGGCAGGGTGCCAAGATTTTATTATTGCCCAGGAACCAGGACTAGGCCGGTTGCAACTTGGGAAGGTAAGGGACTAGGTTTACGTAATGATGCTAATATTTCGTGAGGTAATGGGCCTGGCTAGAATCACCGGAATAATTATATGCCTATCAAGGTCGTGCTCTAATAGTTCTAACGATGGTTGAAGCAATCCCTCCAGAAAATATTATCTTCACACTATACTTATCCAACCCGGGTTTTAACATCAGACAAGTCGTCTTGCCTATATTATTGTGAATGGATATAATAGCTGCATACTATCCTAGCTCGAGTCATTGAGTATCACTCGCAGAAATACTATCGGAACCCTTGGCGTACTTCATCTCATCATGTCCATATTTATACCCTAGATACGGGGTGAATATAGATTATCTTGAGCCTATATTATGAGCGTACATGAGATTCGGCTTAGAACAACCCGCCGTAATTAAAGCTCTAACGGGAAAACGTGTTATACGGCCTGACCTGAACTTTTACTCTTTTGTGTGCGTATATACCTCGAATGTGCAGTAAGCTATGGCCCCGCCGAGGCAATATTTAATAGCTTTCCAATGCTACTTGGAATAGGCATCGATTGAGAAGCGTTGTCGCGCCTCCTTTATCGCTAGAATGCCTGGAATTTCTAAGTCAGTCGTTAGGGATAGAGACGGCTTCTTAGTGCCAAGGTTGAATGTGTTTTGAGGGGCCTAAATTATAAAACTAGTTCATTGAGAACATGCATTTGCATCTGGAGTTTTAGAAAATAGCTTATGAGACGATAAATAGTTTCGTTTACTCTGGGTAGTATGATCCTGGGCAAGAATAGAGAAAGCTACATTAAACCTAAATACACCTAACCCTGGTGCCAAGAATGTATCTTTAATGTTCTGGAGCCATACAATTAAGTTTTGACGTAGATTATCCTGCTACGGCGTAACGGGGTGTACCTGGTCTGCATGTAGCATACAGCCCGATGACATGCGAGGAGGCTCCAAAGCCTTGGTTGAAGCCTAGCTTCACGTGGGAGGATCCGGAGAGGATATATCTTTCGTCCATCTTTTCGGGGTGACTGAACTTGTTTAGATATTACACTTATGACATGCCTAGATCTCTTTTTAGTTTCGATAAAATAAACCCCCGGGTCGTCCGTAAACAGAGAATGAAATTTATCCTGTCTGTGTAATCGAAAAGCATAACTCTTTGCGCCTGACCCTGCCAGGTCTGTATGGGCTCTGACACCAATCGTGAAATTTCAACCTAAACTCGGCTGGGCCATGGGTGGCGGTTGACTGAGTTGTTCTAAAGAAAGTGGTTTAAACGGCAATATGGTCTGTTGATCAACTTTCAAGCTTCTCTCAGAACTAGTTGGTCAGGTGAGGTGCGCACATGCTCCAGTAAAGGATACTAATGCCTAGGTCATATCGCACTGTTTTTTTCTGTCCATGTAAATTTGTTAGCTACTCTGATTTTTGTGAATGCGAAACCTAGTAGGACTGAGAAGTAGCATACATAGGTACAGAAGCACACCTGGGCCCTGTTACATCACAGATCACGAGGCTGATACGCACAAATACAAGGACAGATACGTACGAGTGAGGCTTTCGATGGCCGATTATCAATTCAGATTGACGATTATCAAATGAAGTCGATGTCCTACAAAGAAGATCGAATGGATGGACACCTCGATCGACCAACCTACCCACGAGGGACCCGGAACGGAGGAGAGTTCTACTTTGAGGTCCGTGTAATGAGGCTGAGATCAACGGTGGCATACACGTTATCGGGCAAGGGACAGCGGTATAATAGAGACTTTGCGTTGAGAGAGCCAGCTCCATTTTAGTGCATCTTGGCGTTGTCATGCCGAGACCTCATAGAGCCAGCTGGGTTTATGGAGCCCGCACAAAAACCTAACAGCTTAATTTGATACCCCATCAACGAATCCTTCTATCTCTACCAATATTTGCCCGATTGAGACGATTTTGGATTCCCTGTATAGCCAGGGAGCTGTTCTTTCAATGGCAGACCTCGAAGACATGTATATGGAGTTTGCTGTAGGCGTCGCTGAGCTGGAAGTGCTCGCACAAGCGGCAAGAGTTGACAACACCCGGTGGCGAGGACAAGGTCGCGCAGGAGGTCCAATAGACCTTGATGCAATAGAGGGTGATGCTTGGAAGACGTATTTTAGGTACGAAGGGTGTCAAATCATTTAGTAATGGAATACAGTACTTATATTTTTGCTAGATTTAGTCGTGACGAGGTTTATCGCCTTGCAATCTGTATGCGATTACCAGATCGCATTGAATGCGAAAATCAAATCTTTGAAACCAACATCACTGCATTATGTATGCTACTAGCTAGACTCTCTTGGCCTAATCGGTTGTCCGATTTGCACATCAAGTTTGGCTGGAAACCTGAACGAGTTTCACGTACTGTCAACACGCTCCTCGTATGGATACACGATCGATGGAAACACCTTTTAGTCTTTGATGTAGAACGATTGACACCTGAAAGACTGGTATTGTTTACAAATTCAATAAGACAGAAGGGTGCACCCCTTGAGACATGCTTTGGTTTCATTGATGGCACGTTGCGAGAAATTGCTCGCCCTATTTATGCACAAGAAGCGGTATACAACGGTTGGAAACGGAAACACTGTTTGAAATATCAAGCAGTTGTGACACCAGATGGTATTATCATACATCTGTTTGGCCCTGTAGAAGGGACTAAACATGATGCTTTGGTTTATAGGGAGAGTGGTTTATCAGAAATATTGGAGAATTATGCACACGGCCCTGATGGGACAAATCTACAATTATATGGGGATCCAGCGTATGGTATGAATGAGCATTTGATTTCACCTTATGGGGGTGCGGTCATTGATGAAGCTGAACGAAATTGGAATAAAACAATGTCGAGAGTCAGAATAGTTGTGGAATGGTGTTTTAAAGAAGTGTTGCAGATGTTTACGTTCTTGGATTTTAAACGGTCACAAAAGATTTTGCTCTCACCTATTGGTCTTCAATATCCTGTCGCTGTTTTGTTGCACAACGCGCATGTATGTCTTCATAGACCGCAGATTTCCCAGTTCTTCGAGGTTGAAGTTGGAGATGACTTAGAAGCATCAGAACTTCTAGCACCACCTACACTTGAGGAATATTTTCATTATATAGAGGGGGAAGAATAACGTTAATGATTTTGTGTACCTAATCTACTACTAGTACTAGATTCTTTGCCCGCAGAATTCTGAATGAAAGCACTCATCGTGCTAATAAAAGCGTTGAGATTTGCATTCAATTCCCTTTGCTCCTCTGCCCGCTGTTTCTCTCTTGCTTCCCTCTCTTTATCTCTTCTCTCTCTTTCCAAAATGGCTTCCCGAAATGCATCGGCCTTCTCCTGTAGACCGCTCAAAACCCCCTCTACTTCAGTAGCAAATTGATTTTTAGGAGCGCGCACTTTTTTCCTTGGACTCTCCTCGCCATTGGAAACCGAATCATCAACTTCTATCAAGTCCCTTTTCCGAATTTGCGAATGCTTAGAAGCTTCTCTAAGTTGACTCGCTTTTACCTTTCTATCTGCCAATTTATCTTTAGCCTCCTGTCTGATTTCCAATTGATTGGATACAGAATCAAACAAAAGACAGATATCCGTCATGTTGCGAACATGGCCGTTGACCTCCTCTACCTCCCCAGTCTTCTGCTTGGACCGGGTTTCTTCCTTCTACTCATATAGTTATATTAGCAAATAACTATAGTGAGATCGCGAACAGTAGCTTCATTATTATCATACCCGATGCCATTCCACCAAAAGATCCATTCTATTCCGGCAGGATGCACCAGAGCGAGTGATTCCAACACTTTTCTCAAGGTGTTCTGCTACCTCACGCCAACGCTCATCCTTCTTTCCAGTTTTGTTGAAAATTGGATCATCCGCAAGCACCTGTTTAGCCAAAGCTCTATCTTCCCATGCGAGCCATGCTTTTCCCCTCTTCTTCTTATCCGGCTCTGGAGCAATACTACTAGCAACAGGTTCAGAGTCCGCAACCTCAGAACCTAAACCAGTGTTGAGAACCAAACCCATTTAGCTCATAGTCTCGGCGATGGTTTGTTTCGTTTCGCACCGACCGCGTTTCGTATTCCTGCTTCAATAGATAATCAGCAACTAGTAGTAGAGATAGAACTGATGGCTTACAGTCAAAACAATCCCATTCCGCTGTTTCGTTTCGTTTCGTTCCTGCTATCACACCTATTGAACAGTTAGTACCTTGCAGCATCGCTAAACAAAAAATAAAGATTGATTACCTGTATAGTAAATTGATGGATTGTAGAGGGGTGGATCGCTGAGTGATGGATTCAAGTTGTGAAGGTGACAGGGTGAGAGTTCGTGAAGGTGAACAGGTGAGGGTTCGTGAAGCAGCTCGAGTGACATCACACATACATCAACCGCAACCGCAAAGTAAAACGGACAGCCAGCTCCAAACCCTGGTTTCTTGGCGACAACGGGCGCTGGCTGCAGCCAGCGCAAAGTCTCTAATATTTGTAAAAGTACGTTGACCGTAGAAGGACTCTTGCGGAAACCGGTGGTCTCTATTTATGAAACGATTCTGTTTGATTGGTGGATCCGACAGAGAAAGACGACATGAACCTGGATCCAGACTAGCCTATAAGGATTCAACCCTATTCCGTCCGCACCCACGAAAGGAGCAGTATCTATCTTAAAATAGGGATTGATGCCATGGTTTTGACACGAGGTATAAGGCTGCAACTGTACTATTCACAGAGGGAATTTGTTGGTGAATACATGTAGGCTCAGATAATATACATGTTACGTATACTGCAGCCAAGATACATATACATACTCTACTCTACATGTAATCAAGCCTGGGGATTTTTCGTTCAAATGCAAGTTCTTTTCGCCAGCGACGGAAATTCTAGGTCGCGTCATAAGGTATCACTCGAACTATGCGGTTACGCAACGTGTTTATATACAGCTCTTTAGAGGATAGCAAGACCACGTCATGGAGGAGTGCTGTTCGATTGACGTGTAATGTATGACTACCGTTAATTCTCAAATAATCCACTATCCCTGTATTTGTATGTGGTAAGTCCGGACCAAGGCGAATTGGGGTATCAAACCACGGATTCGTGCAGATACACACTTTTTCTCACCCGGAATTAAGATTTAACGAAGCGGGGATAGTGGATTTCTCGAGAATTAACGGTATGACTATAACATCAAATCGATCAACGCAATTTATTTCTCGCTCTTTTATTAATATATTGACATGTTACAGCGTAACAGGAAGAAGATACGACAGAGGCCGACCAATAGCGAGAGCAAGGCTATCCTGACTATCTGTGATAGAGGTAAAATCATTCTCGGGGATTCGACATAGTGAAGGAGGAAGGCTCGAGAAGGATTCGGCCCACTGAAGCACGCGGGGCTTCTAGCTCATCATCATCAACCGGTCACACTTGACGAAGGTCCAGATATCTCTAGCCCTGCGCCCACGTACGCCCCATAAGAATGGATACTAATCGTCAAATGTTCATTGATTCGCAAACGGAGGTTCGGCAAATTTTTGATAGAGAAGGACCGTGAACTTTCCGGGGGATACATACTGTAGTGCAGGATACTGGCAGATTGAATGGCTATGCCGGTCATGACTGACATATATAGCTATGACTATGAGAGTTTATAGGAAGATGCAGCATACCGGTTAACCCCTCTTTCACGCCCAATCGTTGTTGCAGCTGAAATGATTGGGATGCATGGACAGAACAAATTCAAAGCCACTGCTTCTTTGCAGGTCATTCGTATTCGTCGGCGATCCCAGTATTGAACCGAACCATTAAAATCCACAAACACAGGGGTCCGGAGTCTTTTTGACAGACTTGGCATTAAGATGCCAAGGAATGAGAGATCCGGCTCTGCATTTGAAGGCTAATCGCGAAATTCGACCTCCACTACTTCTAACATTTGTAGGATCACCAAATGGAGATCTTTTTTCATGGAAACATTTTTATGATAAAATTCAGATGCAACTACGCCTCGCACCAAATTCTTAGGAATTTAGCAACAGTGTTGGTGAAAATAATTGATCTCTCACCAAAAACTGGGTAACGCCGATCAGTGGCAAGCACCATCTGGCCCCATTTTTGACCCCCCAAAATCAACGAAAATCCCTATAATGCCAAGCTACAAGGAAGCTGGCATCACCGCCCCGAATACTCTACTCAAGGGGGGAGGGGTGGATAAACGTTTACCAGGTTTACACTACAGCTTTCATAGCCTTCTCCCCTTCACAGACTATCCCGCGGGGTTGATGAATCTGCATCAACCTGGAGCGATTATGACTCATCACCAAATGCTAGGTCGCAATTGACTGTAATGGAAGGCGGAGCGATTAGCTTGTGCGTGTGGCGTGAGCCATGAGTTAAACGGTTATCAGCCCTCTATCAAACGGGACGCGCTTGATCTATGGTAACGTTGCTGCATACCTCGTACGCTTGTGGCGGCGCAATGTGGCTTACGCACAACCTGTACTCGGGGCTTAACCGTAAGTACACTCATCACGTGGTGAAGGCAGATCCTGTCTGATGGTGGTCACCAATAGTATAGTTAACTTTGAGACGCCAAGGATAAATTAGTGTAACGCGACAATACTGGCCTTTTTTTTGGTATTGGCAATTCTGTATTACACTAGCTAAATAATGACAGGAAATGCAGCTTTTTCTACCTAGTATCTGTGACCTACGATGTAGAGCACGGCCAAAACAATAGACAATAACATATAATAGGTGTGATAAAAACTTGAAACTCCATGAGAACACCAAACCATAGATAAAACATATTCCAAATAACAAGAAACAGAAAGCCCCCACGCTGCAAAATAAAACCAAGGAAAAATAAAAGTGAACGCACTGTTCCCTATCACATATTATTGGTAGCAAATAAAAAAGGAATCTTTAGGAGGTAGTCGGAAAGTTAAGGGAAAAACCCTCCATGAGAGCATGTTGTACACGAGCACCATTTTAACGCTCAGAATGGAGGGGTACATGTATATAAAAGGAAAAGGGGATATGTAACAAGTTGAAACATTTCCAATTTTTTAATCGCTTCCCTCGATATTCTGCGCAAGGGTACCATCGACAGGGTAGAACCACGAAGCTAGACAAATTATCAAATAAAGCGCCACTAACAGGACACCTTCAAGGTAGTTTGATTTTCCATCCTATTCCCTACTGTTAGAAAAAGCGCCACCACTACATGGAGAGAGGGGTGTTAGAACATACCTGGATCAGATAGTTTACCAATAATATCGCTATAAACAGGATCATAACCTGGAACCCGTCAAAGTACAGGGTCATCTCGTCAATACCCATGATCCATCCCAGAACCACAATAAACGGAATAACAAGTAGTGCAATCTGCATGCTACTCCCTACAGCGACACCAATGCTCAGATCCATCTTATCCTTAACCGCAACAGTAACCGCCGTAGCATGCTCCGCCGCGTTTCCAACAATTGGTAGAAGAATCAATCCGACAAAGACTCTAGAGATGCCTGCAGAGGTCACGACATGGTCGATCGAGTCTACCAGGCATTCCGCACAGATTGCGACCAGCACTGTCGAGCTTACAAGGAGAATGGCCGCCGCCCAGAGGGAGAGCTCTGCCGTCTCCGGTTTATCTTCAACACTCGGCTTCGGCTTCCCCATGACAACCCCATGGCTGGTGTTTGCTGAAGACTCAACGAGTGATTTGACAGGTGCGACAGCCTTGTTACGCTTGGGAGCTTTGGCGGAGGGTTCATTGTAGAGATTGGTGTGTGATCTGAGCTGGAAGAAGAGATATGCCCCGTACACAAGGAGGAGTATGATCGCTGTTCCACGGGAAAGCTCGGTGATGCCGACATCACCGGCGCTGGAGGCAAGGTGGAAGGCGGTAGGGACAATCAAAGAGCCAACAGCGAGGGCGAGGAGGGAGGAGGCTGTTTGGGCGACGGTAGTGTTAAAGTTTTGTTCAACGCGGTTGAAACCACCGGCGACGAATGCCATGCCGAGCACTAGAAGTCTGTCGTTGGAAAAAGAAAATTAGTTAAATGCCCGAAATGGGCGTAGCTGGGTCTGCGGCTTACAAGTTACTTAAAATACTTCCAATCAGAGAGGTTTGCACAATAACGATCTCATGTTTGGTCAATGCAATAATCGAAACAATAAGTTCAACCGCGTTCCTAAAAGTCCGTCTCCGTAAGTTTTCATTGTTCCAAGCTATAGAGAATTGCAAGATAGGACTGAGGGGAAATATACCCAAAACTCGCGTTCAGAAGGCCTCCTGTCACTTCACCAAAATATAGCGCAATCTCTTCTGTACCATATGATAACAGCGCCGCTAGAGGTATGATAGCTATGAAATTCAATACAAATACAACAGTCCTATAAATCATCAAATTAGCTCATGGTTGAGAGGAAACGTAAAAAAGAAAGAAGAAAAACTTACGCATTTACACCAGCGAAATGTGTCGCGATACCCGCGGGGGCAAATATCAGTAGCACATTAATCCAACTGTTGAAAAGTGCCGCCCTTATCTGTCCCCAAATAGTCCTATGCTCTCTCTCCTCCTTCTCTGTATAAGGTTTACAATATTCATCATCAGGAGAAGTGCTTCTCCCCTCCTCCATACTGAGAGTGTTTGTCCTGTTTACTGTTGGTGCTGGCGAGCTGAAAGGTGTCTCGTTCTCAGGGGGCGATGTCATAGTGTTATTCGTTTCATGGTCTGGATGCGGAGGTACGTTGGTATCTGTTGACTTTGAGAGTTTATTTCTTTTGGCCATCATTTTGCGGCGTCGGTGTTGGCGGATTCTGCAGAAAGGGTTGAGGTTGTCGGAGTCTGCAAGGCTGGAAGCTGATCGCTTGACACGGTCTGTAAAAAGGGATGGACTTTAGTACTAGTGGCTCGGGATAGGGCTTGCCGTGCATACGACGATGCTAGTGGCTAACCGGGGCCGGGGCTGTGCACAAAGTGGAGATAAACGATGGAGAGCAGAAAGAGTAGCACACTCACGCATATTTATATATTTATTTTGCGAGTACTAGGTAACGTTAAAGAAGGCTTGGACGCCGTATGTAGTCAACGATTCTCTGTAGGCGTGGGGAAGATAAGTAATAAGAATATTTGGAAGTGTAAATATGTGCTTGTAGAATTCGTAAAATTGTGGGAATTCCCAATTCTCTTATGTGCTAAATTGTGAGAGCTGGGAACAGGATTAGCTCTCGTAGCACCAACGAGTTAAGTTGCAGTGCCCAGTGCTTGGAAGCGGTTGCCCAGTGCTTGGAGGCGGTTGCCCAGTGCTAGGCATTGCTTGTTTTCACTGCATCTAATCCCCGCCAGCCACTGTGTCCCTTTCCCTTCATGACAGAATGCAAGACAGAGCGTCATGCATTTTTCTTTTTCGCTTACATTATTAGAGCGTATTTACTGAGTGTCATTTTTGACAATTGACACTTCGAAATTGACGGTTGCAAAATGCAAAATTGACACTTCCCCTCCATAAGGATATGAAATGCGCAAGCCGCAAAATGACACTTGTGGATTCCGATCCTTTGGGAATTTGCCGTCCGGCATAGCGAGGTGACGTCAATATCCCATAGCGCAGAGTGGAGTGTCACAACCAACATAACTCACGCAAGATGCGCATCTTGCTTTTACGATGTTTCCAACTCCTGATTTTACAACCATGTATGATAGCAGAATAGGAATACATGTATATTGTATATTACCTGGGGCACCTATATCTATCTGCAAGACTTTAGTGGTTATTTCAGCGCATACGTAGTTGTGCATCACTCCACTCTATCTGAACCCAGATCATCAAGGATTACCTACGTCCCACTTTACAGCACAATCAACACCCCCGAGTTCGATATCAATTCACATAAATTCAATATCGCCCCCCTCCCCGCCCCGCTCTCGAAATGAATAACTCTAGCCCCTAAAGCGTGACAACTCCGAAGGCCCCACCCTCTCTAGGTTCTCTACTCTGCTTGGTATGTAGTTCTCCGAGCATTGCCCAATTGTTAGTCACGGATACATAATGTCCAATAGAGGCTGTTCGCGCGCGCCAGCTAAGAATTGACTAGGAGTGAGAACTTCGCCGACAGTAATTTGGGTTGTTCGGAGGGGCTAAGTGTCGATCGACCCCTGCCCGTTGGAGAAGGTCCCTGCACCCACCCGCCGTCAACTGGTCCGAGCTGAGGTATTTGGATTCATTACATGTATTTGTCTAGACAATTGCCTAGAACGATGGCTGTACATGTCTGGATAAACCCTACATGATCATTGAAGGAAAATCTCGCTTCGTCTCACCTTATTTCATCGGCTTACCTGGGCGATGGAGAGATTCTCAAAATGATCACCAGGGCGGCAGTGCATAAGCCCCAAACTGTACCGTAACGTCCCGGGAAATCGGAAATCTCATCGCGACCCCAACATTAATACATCGGACGTAGGCCATCGTGTCTGTCCAGCCACATGGGAACCATGATGAAAGGCTTCGTACGTATCCCGAGATGGCAGAAACCGCAGCAGCGCAGATGTCGGGCCCTTATTCGGCATCGCTCATGCACATCATTCCGGCCTGTTAGCCGATCGAGTGATTTGCTGTGATCTTCGCTTGGACATGGCAATTTCCGGAGTGTACCTTGCATGGAAGGAAAGAGATTTTTCCGGAAGCTATGGAGCGCAGAGAAATCGGAGAATTGAGCTGGTAGGCTTGGCTCTGCATTACATTTTGTCAGTACTCGTAGCTTCCTGACGTTTTTGAACTGGGCCATTATTGCATACACCCAAAATCATGAGCTTGGCGTATTTATGTATGGCATGCAATATCAGTCGCGTCCAAAAACGTCAGAAAAATACGGGTACTCGTAAGGGGGATGAGTTGTACGCAACATCATGGCATGGTAAGACAAAATACCTACCCACTCCATCCCACTGCTGCTATTCAGACCAGATCATGAGCCAAAAGCACCAGTTGCTTCCGGTGCACCCGCCTTGGCTAGAATTGCATATTCAGTCTAGGCCCAACCAAAAAATCTCAACTGCTATTTGTGGTCGTGGCGGTGAACCTATGGCCCTCTAGGACTACCAGAGGTATCAACTTCCTGATAGAATTGGGCGTATACGCAGCATAGGGGACGACATCCTTGTAATAGTTTCAGGCGGCAAGGGGGGATTAGAATCTGATGGCGGCGATCATTCATCCCCCCAACCATTTGTGGGGTGGGCGTTGGACATAGGTGTATGTAAAACCTAACGGTAGAGCCTAACATCAGGCGGACGCGAGTATGGGTTAACGGGAAAACGCGATGAGACGTGGCATTGAAAGTGTGAGAGGTCAATTGGTTCTCGGGGGACATGAGCGATTACTATCCATGTATATCCATGTCAGAATCTCTAGTGTATAGCTGAAACGCAGAGAGATCAGCTGCTATACGAACCATGTGTATAGTATGAACTCGTGGATTACGGTAATTGGTCTCGAAGAACAACGGTATTGTATCTTCCAACTTTTGTTTCAAGCATGGCAGTAACTTCAGATGCATTCGTCAAAATCGTATTACCTAAAAATCACAGCCATTGTAGAACAGTTTTCGCAATTGTGAAGCGAAAGACGGCGACCAAATCCTCCGACCTATACATACAGGACTATCATCCTTGAGAAAACTGACTGCGTGATACCGAGAATCTTGGAACAATGAAGAAAAGATCTAAGCCATCTAAATTAGTAGCATCAGCAGCACGTATTCTCAGATTCTCGATGCATATGTGATAGACGTTTCAAGACGGCGGGATTGTAATGTATAGTTACCTTAGAAGGAGATGCGATATTTCATTGAATATAGTGCCATCATCAAACATCACTCGCACCCGCTCGTTTTTTATGTTGACCGGTTGATTGGTTTTTATCCATTGCTAGTTTCCCATGTCATGAAATGATGGGCTGATGAGACGAGTCAGAAGGGAGCTTGTGTATGAAAATTCTTTATTAGAGCGTTTTAGCTGTGCCAGTTGAACAGAAAGTCGGGCAGGTTGGACAGAAATTCTAACTATTTTAGGCAAAGACTTGCAAGGATTCAGCCAATAAGAGGTGCAGGACTTTCTGTCCAAGTGCTCGACTTTCCGTTCAACTGGCCGCGCAGCTAAAACGCTCTATTTCTATGACTAAAGCTAGTGGAGAGCTACGCTGTCTTAAATGAGGTTCCGCTAGAGGCCACCTCATGTTGAACAACATGACCTTACTACCAAAATGCCACATATCCGAGATCCCATACTTGATATCCTACTGACCGGAGTATCAAGATGCGCCCCGTTTTATTCTCGAGCCCCTGAGCCATCTCAAAACACATCCCTACTCATGATCAAAGTAAGTTATAACCCGCATATATATATGGAAGGTTCCTTGGAGCATTGACTTTTCTGGCCCTGAGAGCTCCAGCTCATCGATTGTATCGCGTTATAAAGAGCTAACCACATAGTCTCCATCGAGTCTCCAAGGTCTTCGGATGCATCCCTTGAAGTCGGGCATCTATTAGCTAGTTTCTTAGACCTTGGTATATCGGATTCATCCTGACTCCCAGTCTAGTCATTACCGGCACTTCTCAGGGAAGACCAGCTATGGCCGGTCGGAACGACTGCTCAGCAAAATTTAAAAAGAACGTAACGAATAAATAAGAAAAACAGTGAGTCTCTGTTGAAATTGTGCGTCCTATGCTGCCTATTACATGTTTGAGGTACGGACAGGATGGCTAGCGCTAGGGCAGGACGGGTTAGGACGATTACATGTAGAGAGGACGGGTGAATAGGATCGATGTCAAGGGCGGGTCATACGTTTTCAACAGTAACAGAAGACGTCAAAACTGTCTCTTCAAGTTGAGATTAGAAGGTGTATTCAAGATAAGTCGCCCAAGATGGTAAATTTAATGTCTTGTATTACATGACTGACCATTTGTTCATATATTAGGGATGATATAAAAGATCCTCGATCGAAGCGGGGTATATGCTGGAGACCAGAAAAGTCGCAGTCCCTGATCATACCATAGACTCCTTTAATTGAGATATTTACAATGCTAGATGAACTAGAAAGATATCTTAAGAACCGCCACACACTTCGAATTTCAATCCTTACAACCTTACGGTGTTCCGGCCCCGTTCCCACAACTTCTGCCACGCCAGGGGTAAGAAAAAAAACTTCAAAAATGCCCAGATCTGGATCCTAAACCAGAATTAAGAACATAGCTACACAAAAACCCGCCCCAAGATCGGTTATCTCATACCGCTGGTTTATGGGGCCATGTTCTCACCACGTGCGCTCTTTACCTCTCCTTATGTCTGATATATATAACCGCGAGGTTGTTCCCCCAAATATTTTTGTTTCAGAAGTATTTGTTACCCATAACCAGAAACCAGGGTTAGGGTTACTTCAACGTTAGATAGAAAAAATAATTTTTTCAAGCTTCTTTCTTTTTAAGATCTTTTTTTCTTACTCCTTCTCTTCTTCTGTGGCCTTTTCGTGGGACATGTGATCTAAGTAACATTTTTGTAGACGTGCTCTTTGACATCGAAGGGTTAGGGGTTCTGGTTCATGTTGGTAGTGTGCCAAGCCTAAGACACCGAGCTTACCTAACACACATATAAGGTCCTGGGTTAATTCAAATTAACCAGGGGTAGGGGTAGCAGTCGCAAATTCCTTAATAAGTCGCTGTAGTGCCTTTTGTAGTTTTGTAGAACCTTTTGTTCTTTTTTTCTTTTCTTGTAGTAAAATAAATTAGGAACGCTATTTTGATGTTTTATTTCTCTAGAGGAGGAAGGGATGAGTGGTGGGGCTGGGAATCGACCCTAATTATTACTGGATTTGCATTGTCTTTGTACTCTCGGCGTGAGGTCGAGTAGAAACCGTGTTATCTTATATCATGTGTTATTGTAGAGCACGTATACCGAAAACTGTGTAATTTAGATCTTTCCCTTAGTTTTTTAAGTCATCTTTACATGTGTGCAGCTGTTTGCTCGTACTATCATCACATCCGCCTTACATGCATCCCAACGCCCCGATCTGTGAAGCTGCAATAATCAGTCTGCGACAGGTACATAGGTCCCGAGATACCAATTTCTTCTCTTCACCGTGATCCTCCTCTTTATTGACATGAGAATTGAAAACTGAATGCAAGATGTACTAATGGCGGCGGAGGTCAATAATAACCTGATCGATCATTGGTTTCAAACTCCTTTTTCTCTCTCTTCGCGCTGTTGGGGGACATTCGGGTGGTGGGAGGGATTTGTTTTCTTATCCGCGGGTTGGAAAAATGGTAAGAAATAATTACAGTACAGTGAGGTTGGTACAGAAGGGAAGCAAAAACCAACCCACCCACAGACAGCACAGCCAGCCCCCCGGGCCTAAATATACTTGGTACGGGGAGGTCAATGGCAGGGACAATTTTCTAAAGTGTTAGAAAAAAAAAAAGGTTTAAAGTGTGGAAGATGTCAATTGATGAGGTGAGGTTGTTCCCACCAGTTCTGATATTATAAGGCGGTAAAGAAAGATATCAATACTGACAGATTCTGAGCTGAAGGAACAGGGACTGTAATGACTGTGAGAAGGCCGGCCTTAAGTACATAAATACCCTTCTCTGACTACGGACGTTTCAACCTCACCGTATACTTGGAATATAAATCATTCCCGCCAATCCTCCCCGCCCGCCCGACCAAGTACTAAACAGCAGTAACTAGAGGGTCTATATCGAGTCGATCGGCGAAAAGGAAAGCCGATGACCGGCCGGGACGATACAAAGTATTAAACACTTCTTCGGGTTTACCGGGCGGTCTCCGATACATGGTGTAGCGGGTTTAAAGAGTTAATGCGGAGTTGCGGAGGCGGGCTGATGCGTAGATAGGTCCGGATGTACGTGGAGTTATTTGATCCTCGATATTTGTAAGTTCAAGGTTGGGATCAACTGGAGCGGGGGAATTGCTCCAGCCGGGTTGGGTTCAAAGAACGGAGGATTGATCATGAGAGCTAGGATAAAGGATTAAGTATATGTGTTAATGGATATAAGCTTCCGCATACACTCTCGCTACAGAGGCGGACAAGTAACTTCAACTGAGATTTTGCGTTTAGCGGAAGGCTCTTAGCTATCGTGTTTTTAATTATGCCTCTTACGAGCGCGTACTCGTGCTCTAAAAACTATAATAATAATTCCCTGAGTTGGCCCAAAATCAAAAAAAAAAAAAAACCCCCCAAATGACCGCACCGGCAAAGCATACACATACGCAGCGCACTTACCTGTACCGTACACGCAGCACCCTTTTCCCTTCCCTTTGGGCCACATGTCACGCACACTCACTCGTCGCACTCCGCCCAGCAAGTCACGGGAATCCTTCCCTAGGCACGGGGTCGTGCTCAAACATACGCAGCACGTGGGAGGAGCTAAGAATGATGGTCCGTGCCCAACATCCTGGACGACATGTCAATGATCGAGCGCAAGAATATGGGCGACGGCGCTGGGGTGATGAGGACATCGCAGTAAGGGCTCTAGAGTTTATTTCAGGCCGGATGAACTCCGTTGGGGAAGAGCCGAGGTCGAATTTTAGCAAATGTTCACTTTACATCACATTCATCGAATGCGGCGCGCACGATCGAGGAGACAAGAAAAAGACTACAAATGAGAACCAGAATCCTAATTTTTATTCTTCGTACCGGACTCTAGTTTTCCCTTATGGATCTATCTACCGCCCGGCTGCCCACCATTATAACGCTGGCAATTCTCGGCCCTCATGCGCCCCACGAACCACTTCCCGGGCACGAAGCCCATATCCCACTCCAGCCCCACCACCTCCATGTGCGCGTTCCTAATAACCCTCAACAGCTCGTGGCGCCTGACGGGCCTAAACACCATGATCTCCAGCCACCGGCGGAACGACAGGTTAAAGTTCGGCATGAAGTAGTAGTACTCGCCGCGCGGATGGTGGAGCTGGTAGAACAACGACGGCGCCTTGATGCCATTGGCCCAGACGGCGATGGGCGATTCGAAGCTGGCCTTCTCGACGATGAAGGTTGTTTTGTAGCGTGATGCGACGACGTAGAAGGGGGAGCGCTGCTTGAAGGCCTCGGAGATGCCGCGCCAGCGGTGGGTGCGCATGATGGCCCAGCCGGTGAGGAGGAAGGTCTCGTAGTTTGTGGTGAGGAGGTAGAACTCGGCGGTGATTATGGGGAGGAGCGGGGCCTTCAGGATGCCGTCACGCAGGAAGTCGAGGAAGCGTTGGGTGATTGGGTGGGAAGGGCGCTGAGGATAAATAAAGAGGAGGAGCAAGAAATAGACATAGCTAATCCTGTACTGGGGGAGGAGCGGCAAAACAAACATCCACCGTTCGGTATTGATAAAGCTGAACCGGACCTGGGGGAGGTCGAAGTCGCTGTCAGAGTCCTCGTCGCTATAAACGTCAATGGATTCATTCTCAGAATACTCGCTGCCACAGGCGGTCTCTTGCGCAGATCTATTAAATTTTGATAGTTGTTAATACGCGAATCTAGGCCAGTTTCTCTACATGTGGTGCTGGGATGGATGAGCTCACAGCTGGCTTTCAACATCATCCCTATTGTCGCTCCCACCACCTTCACCGATCAACAAGTTTCTCATTATGGATACTATGTATGTATGAGCGTAGGGATAAAATCTACACTAAACATCGAATTGATTAGTAAGAGGGCAAATGATATTGATGCCAAGTTATACTTACAGGTTAGGAGATAACGTAAGGATACGTCCACGTGAACTGGTAAAAGTGTAAAAAAGAGATGTTGATGATATTGATGCGGTAAGAAGCGAGGAAAAACGGGAGGAAGCGAGGAAGGGACCGTATGTAGCGTGCGGGATGGTGGGGCATCGTTAGGACTAAGCCCTAGCTAGCGAGTGACTGCACGAGCCGTCTTTATACATGTAGCTAGGAAAGCTTATATTATGCATTGCCCTAATCGATCAAGCAGAGAGAACCTTCCTGCTTTGCCTAGGCCTGCCTCCTCGCGTTCGTCCAGGGGGCTCTAGCCTCAAGTGCCCTCTGCTAGCTTATCCCTAGCCACTGAAGGCCAGAGAGCGGGAGAGGCCATATCAGAAGCAAGCCCGGTCAGGACACACGTATACATGTATCTATTTCTTCGTGCAACTACATGTAGGCTTTGAGATAAATGACGAGAACGTGGCGCGATATTCGACCACCTATCAGTTCCATTCAGAGACAATCCACCTCCGCCCATAAATAGCCTCTCCCGTAATCCCAAAAGAAAGACGGCCATCAAAGAAGCGAGTAGTGGGGTCCACGAGGCTGATCGAGGCGAGCAGAGGCAACTGTCCGGAGGTGTCTCTACCTTTCGGTAAGGTATATATCATGGCATAATTGGTGAAAACCTGACTTATCATCAAGGGGCATTTCCTAGGAGGCATGGTATGCAACTATTATTTATACTCTCATCCGCATACGTTTCTTGGTCATCATACTAACCACGTTGCTTTATCCCGTCTGCTCAGTAAACCAGTGATATGCCCGCCGGTGTATATCGCCTGTTCGAGGGGAGTAAGACATGCGTCAAGATTTTCAAGGCGCACAAGGCAAACACACACCATTTATAGGGTATGCCGGACATAAACTCTCTTACGGATCGCGTACCAAGACTGCACAACGCTACTCCGAGACACTGGCAACGAGTAAGAGACCAATATCTTTCCCAGAAGACTGCTAGTAGTCGAGCTTTATATAGCATAGTACAGGTAACCACCTCAGCCGGAAGAGTTACTTATATGATGTTTGCTAATAGCTTCATAGAACCTCGTGCTTTGAACTAGCTCGAGCGGCGGTGCGTTGTTGATCACACTAGGTCACCACCACCGTCACAGAGAGCTTTCTTTCATCTCATACCGCTGCAGGTGAGAGTGGGTGAGCTGTTCGAGGTCTTCATGTGAGTTACATCTCGATCGCGAGGCGGTGAGCACCACTCAACCAGAGCCAGTAGCGTTTAAGGAACAAATTAGTGCTAAAGGTGCGAGACGGACAAAAGTGTTCATCGGAACACAAGCCTCTGATTGTTTCCGAAGTTGTACCGCTACAAAAGCGGAAACCGCCGGGGATATTTCCGCACTCTCGACATAATGGTAGATATCTCAGAGTTTGATATTACCTCGCCTATTGGATCAACTTCAGCCCGGGGCTTCAGCCGACGACCTATCTGAATCAGAGTTAGCATCGACCATTCATAGGTAAAACCGAGCTGAGCACGGTGTTCGGACTCACAGCAGTGGATAGATACTTCTGGCCTATCGAATCTCTCCACATGACAAGGCAAAAGCCGCCAGAATCGTACAAACGCGGTGGCTCTTGTCGTGAAAAGATATTTAATGGGCGTTGTTCGTCGAGCATGCAGCAGATGTTGCTAAGTTGGCTATTTCAATTCCACTTCTTATCGGAGGGTCCGTGCACAGAGGATCATATCTCCCTCTTACCGAGCTTCGATCTGAGTGTGCTGGCATCAACCACATTCTGGGGTTTTCTATTTATAACAGCGCTGAAGAATAAGAAAACCTTCTGGATATCTAAATATTTTTATGGTTTGTAAATGAGAGGTAATGAATGAATGAATATCGTAACTCGCTAACAAAAAGAATCATAGAGTCTATCGAAGAAACCCTCGAAATGGCTACGTAAAACGACCGCAGAAACCGAATCTAAATCAACAAATGAAAACAGGATATGCAAGAATATTACTCCGTTCAGTCTCAACACCCTCTACGCTTTCAATTAGACACCACAATACCCTTATTCCTCCACGTATCCACCCCCGGCCCGCACTCCACCGCGATAAACCTCCCCACATCAGACCTCTGCACAGTCCACGCGCCCTCAAGGCTCTCTCCCGCCCTAACCTTCCCCTTGACTGGCCCATCAACCAACAAGCTCGGTCTCACGATCACAACATTACCCAACTTAACTTCCCCCGGCGTTGGATTAAAGTCCACATGCTGGATCCCCGCATAGGAGTTAACCAGCCGTTCCATATCCTCTTTATCTGCATGCGGCTCCTTGAGTAGCCAACTATACATTGGCTTCATCGCAAACGGGAGTTCCTTGTGGCCCTTTGGCCCAATACCGCTGGAGGAGATGACCACGAGCCGCGGCTGGTTGGACGGGTCTGGGTACAGGCGGGTAAAGACTGGGAGGAAGACGTTGATAGTGCGGGAGCAGATCTGTGGGGGTTCGAGCTTGGGCGAGAGCGGATTTTTGAAGCTTGGTCGACCACCTTTATGCACCGTTAGCAGCTATTATTTTAAGGGAACTCGATAATGATACTGACCTAGACTGAATAGTGCGAAACCGACACCATCTCCGGCGGTGCTAAAAAGTCGTCCGACGTCCTGTTCGGAGAATGCATCGCCCTGGACAACAGTTATGAGGTCCGTTTTGGCGCTTCGGGCTGCTAGGGTTTTCGAGAAGGCTGCTTCGTTTCGTGCGAGGACGTAGCAGGAGTGGCCCATATCGACAAGGTTGAGGAGGGTCTCAAGACCACATCCACGAGTTGCGCCGAGGAGAACACACTTAACCATGATGAAGGTTCTAGGAGCTTATCGGTATTTTTCAGAGAACTAAAGGGAAGATTTTGAAGAAAAAGGTTTATGATATGAAAAACGCTGATAGTGGGTTAGGGTTCGTCTCTGCTGGCTTGAGCTCTGGAAATTCAGAAGCGAGATCCCCACGATCTCAAATATCTTTATATCCCCAGCTCCATCCCACTTTTGACGGAGTTTTTTTTTAGTTCTATCATAGACGCAACAACACAACCCACCGTCGGAGCAATTTTTGCACCAAAATACATCACATGCAACAAGCAAATGCTTCAAGTCCGCCCGGTGCGGCGACACATTCGTCCGTGGTAACACATGGCATTCGGTGTGCCCGATTGGTGACGATAAGCAGCAGGGATGGTTGAGAGGGCATGTGCCGTGGCGCATGCATGCGCCACATGTCCTACACAGCCCCCCAGCGAGTGATTGGATATGATGGCTTGGGGTCGAGTGATCTCCTGTGACCTTCGAGATCGAACGCGATTTCCTGGGGTGGTGGTGGGGTTGGCATGGTTATTTTAGTTGGCGGATGCGATGTCGCGACTACCAACTTCTGCTGGGTGTATCTCACAGGAGTGCATATGCTCTACCATACATGCATATTAATTGTAATGCGTTGTTGAAAACAGGCGCTCAATAGGTTAAATAACCACAAGGCGAATCACAAATACGCAAGATACGACGGATTTGATAGGAAAGACCCCTATCTGAAATTTTTCCCCCTTTGTCATTACTTCTTCTACTGTGCAGCACTCCCAAGGGCTGAATTACAGGAGACTAATCACCCACCCTTAGGCATAGATTTCATATTCACGTTTAACGCACCCCATGGCAAAGGAGAATTTGGAAATTTTTGTCAGAGAAATACGGCGGTATAAGTTTATGCTAATGAATAACGTATATCTAGATTGCAACCTGAGATATCTACCAAATTCGAGAATTATATCCGTAGCTGCAGAAAGAGCCATATCCTCATCCTGAGATGGGTAAACAGTATGAAGAAAGATAGATATCTAGGTAGAGTATATTTGAGAGTCTAGTAATTTCTCTGGATATTTCAACTAGTTTGTATTTCACCGAACCTTGATAGCAATCACAAAGAACGCGTTTAAAGGACAAAGTATAGCCGGAATTAACGAGGAGGGCTGGAATTCAAACGGGAGAGTCTGTGTCTTTTAATCTCCTGAAGGATTTTGAAAACGTTTAAATTTACTCCTCGGTTGTCTTCCAGAAGGAATATATTTGTTTAAGGATAACTCCATTTAGGTGGTATGAATAAAGAAGCTCAAAGATGTGGCCCTATTTTCACATGTTCACCGGCCTAATGCCCAACTCACACCTGGCACAGAACCATACACCCCTCCTATCATTCCGCCTTCTTTCCGTTTCCACCCCTTCCCTCTCTTTCTCATTCGCAACCTCAATCTCCCCCGGTCGCTGTAAAATAGTTGGTCTAATTAACATCTCGCTATCCTGACATTCTGCGCATAAAACAGCTCCGCATCGTACCCCTTTGACGCCTTTCTTGCCATTGGTCTCATCTCCAGGCACGTCGGCAAGGTCCCGGTAAAGAAACTCATCAATTTGGTACTCAGAATCCTTGCCGACGGTCCAAATAGCGCCACACACTAACTCTCCAGGGCCATTTGTCGGTCTGTTTATGCAGGACACACAAAAGCGTTTCCCACAACCAGCATAACAGCTTCGATATTCGGGTTCTTGAATGATGTATTTAGGGCCTCCGGGCTCGTAGAGATCTTCCTCGTAACCAAGACATCCGGCACATGTACCGATTCCGCAGCGTGCGCATTGTTCCCAGATTCGAGTTTCGCACATGCGCCTGAAAGGGTCGCCATAATCGCCTGAGGTTGTTTTAGGAGGTTCTGCAAGAGGAGGAGCAGGAGCAGGGCCTCTGCTAACCTTTCGAGAGGTGCTATTGAGGGAGACAAGAACATCGGACATTATGTTACTATAGGAGCTCATTGGTTCATATGTTCCCCTGAAAACCTCGGGAATATGATCAGCGCCGGTTTGTTTATCAGTATTATTGATATCCGCAAGTGTGGAATGACCATCTGCGTCTCGCACTTGAGTGGATTCATCCATTGAGTATTGTGCTTGTAAGCCTGATGGCTCAGGCTCCAGTTCATCCATCCCACCCCAGCCCAGATATGCACCAATTTCCCATTCGTCGATTCTGCCAACTACTCCAAAGCGATCCTTTTCCATCTCAGGAGTCCAACCATCTGTAGTATAAAGACTTGAAGAAATTGTGGTTCCAGAAGGGCCGTGACATCCATAGCAAAGTGAACCGTGACAGTCGATGCAAGTCAAATGTGATTTTTCGCTGTCTTCACAATCGATGCAGTATGGTCCATGTCTGGATTGGGAGCAAGTCCATTTCAAGTGACTAGGGCCAGGAGGATCGGCAGCCAGGGGGTTGAGAGGTGTCGTGAGAGGGTTCGAATTCGTTTTGAATGTGCAGGATGGACAGAAGAAGCTAAGGTCAACCGTCAGAAAAATGGAAGTTAACTTACAAGTGCGTTGGCAGACGCCTGAAAGGAGGTCACAATAGGAGGAGGGCGGGCTACAAAGTACCTGTTGCAACCAGCACATGTCATTTCCCTTACACAATCCGTACAACATGATCCAACAGCAAGTCGTCCAATGCCGATAGCAGGGCCAATCTGTATACCGCCATACTCTTTGATTTCTCCTTCACCCCTAAGTGTTTCAGGACTAAGCTCATCTTCCCACAAACCGCAGTTTTGACAAACTGTCCCACCCTCGTTTCTTCTAGCATCAATCTCAGCAACACAATGTGTGTGCATGCTGCCGGTACTTTCAGGTACGGGGAGGCTATAAGGAACCACTCTCCCTGTTTGCTGATCAACTACCAATACTCGAGCGCTCCTTAGAACACCGTAATAACTACTATTACTCGACAAGTGTGGGCGCCCGTAAACAAATGAATAGCAATTTTGTCGACTAACACACAAAGCTATATCAGTTTTGATAGAGAGAAACTTTACGACTATCATAAACGCAATGAGAGGATGGGGTTCCCCCAATGGCAACTTTGGCGCAAACCAAGGCGTATCGGGATTGTTTTGTCTTTTACGCTTGAAATCTTGGTATTGAAGTTGTATGGTTCGTACCATCTGGTTTATGTTCATAGCGCGCTCCCTGTTGACTAAGCTCATTGGTGGTAAGAGCTTTAGAGTATTCTGTAAATGGAATCTTAAGGGAATAACATTTGCAAACGGGCTTGCTTTAGGAACCCATTCTTCTGAGCTTGGGAGGTTGATACATGGAGGATCATCTTCATGTGGCTCTAGAGGTTCCAAGGGCTCGGGATGACGGATAAAATCAAAAACAGTTGTAGGTGTATTTCCAGAACCCCAGATCTGGTAAAATATTAATCAACGTTATTCTTAAAATCGCTCACGGATTGGGGACATACGTGTAGCCATTGTAGAGCAATTGGGCGTGATTTATCAATAGCTTCTAAGAGCCATTCAGACCATGTGTAACATTCCAGGTTTTTGCAGTTTTTAACAGATAGACCCCGCAATGTACGCTCAATCTGTGGAAGTAGGGGCTTCGTATGTTCAGTCTCGATACTAGTTCCATCAAGAACTAATGTCGTCAGGTCCCGTCCTACTGGTATGCTTTGAAGCATCCAATAAAGGTGTCTCGACATAAAACTAGGTATGTATTTTGGATTGATTCTTTTTCTCTTTAACATCTGCACCTGGGCTGTCCCAATATCTGTACCGATGAATAATTGGTTTAGCCTTGGCGAATCCTTGATGAAAGGATGCAAGAAGACGGCCAGAAGTAATTTGCGTTCGTTCCGAGTAATCCTCACCCGTCTCAGCTCTGCAAAATCATCTACCGCAACCTGCCAAGGGAAGCCTTCATCGAAGACCTTAAGGGCATCCTTTCTTCCTTTCAGCACCGTCCATCTCTCACCCTCTTGATCAGAAACCAAAAACAAATTCAGGAAGAATCTCTTTTGGTGGTGGAGATAAAAGCGTGTAGTGCGAGACGTACAACACAAACAGAGCAGTGCTGGCGTTGTGAGCGTTTCAATAAGAGTAGTAAGAATTGGATTGTGTGCAAAGAGGAGTTCGAGAGGTGAATAGCCCACTGGGTAGAGGAAACCCTGTGGTTTAAAGTTTAGGGCAACTGGCGGACGTCCTTGTCTCGTTCTTCCTCTAGCAAGATCATCGAGGGGCACTAGTTCTGTAATGATTTTCTCAGACTCAACACCTCCGTATGCATAGTCCGCACTGAGAGGAAAATCCATGGCTTGAATTCAAGGAGTTGATGATGAGCAGAGTGTCTAAGAAGACACGTGCCTATGATATAAAGACAGTTTCCAATCTAACAGGGGTACCATGATCACATGTACTCTTGGAAGCGCGGCCAAAGAGAGATTGTGTTCCTTCTGGACATAACCAGGTTCTCCCGGTACCCTTTCCCCCCTGCCTGTTTGGGCTACGGGCACCGTACAGTGCTACCACAAATAGCATTTTATTTCGGAATGTATGTGCATGTAGATAATATTATCGTTTTACCCATTAATCTAAAAACTAGGGTTAGGGTTATTTAATGTAGTTTAGATAGTTCTTATATCTTAAAGAAAATAAATTCCATACCCTAAACGTTAACTACGTATAATCCCGATCCGTCTATGTTATCGGTAGTAAGTTGAAAGTTATTGGACTCAGCACATCCACCTCCTCCGTATATTGTTTCCAAATCGATCCAATGTAAATTAGTGCTTAGGAACACAGGGAAGTGCAAACGCATCGAGCATTTTGTATCTCCTACAAGCGGAATATGGGCTTGATACAACGGCTATTCTAACCCCTACAGAAAACGTACCACACCCTGTTTCTCAAAGAGTAATCTGAAAATTAAGGGAAAAGACATAGAAATTGATACAAAAAATTAAAAGGGAAAGATAGAAGCAGAATGAAAGAAAGAGGTGAATGGGTTAGAAAAGGCGGGGGTCAGCCGCGTTTGAGTTCGCCGTCGGGGAATTCCTCCTCAGAGCCGTCCTCACTAATTAGTTACTTGACTGGCACTCTAGCTCCTTCTGACTCGCCATCTCGGCGCGCATTTTTACAGCATTCTGCAAATCCTGGATTGCATTCCCTAGTTTCCTACTGCACCTTGTATTATAATTATCCTCCTCGGCAGGGTCATTATCATAGTTACTCTCGACCCAGACTCTGGCACGAGCCTCTTTCTGCTGATTCAATTCTTTGTGCTTGGCAAGTTCAGTATCCATCTCATTTTTCTCGGAGATATTGCCACCGCGCCTGAGCTTCTGATGCTCATGTTCAACTCCTCTGTCGGTCGAATAACCCTCCTCCGTTGTAAGGGAAGCCACAGAACCTTCACACTGAGTCGGAACCCTAGGATTCAATCCGGCTTTGTCGATGCGATTCACAGTCTCATATTCCTCCCTTGAGGAGTAGTAGATACTGGAAGATTGGAAGCGCGGGATATTTTCTAGATTCGATGACACGGAGGGGCAGTGGAACCAGTAAGGGGAGAGATTCTTTTTGGTAACCTTTGAAGAATCACATTCTTTCAGTGAAGCATGATATAGCATTGGGTTGAAAGTAGGTTTGGCCTTTATGCCCAGAAGCCCAGATACATAGCCGGTTTTAAACTTCGAGGGATTCGCTGGTCCCTGAACAAATTCGGAAGTCTGGGACTCCAATTGGTCTGCGTAATAAAAATCTCCATCGGCCGAGCCATTCTTAAACTTATCAAAACCGACCTTGTTTGAGTTGAAAGAGGGATTCGGTTTTCTGTGTCCACCGGGCATGCTACCTTTTCTACGAGCTTTGTGTGAACTGACCGGGAAATCTTTATTATTGTTCGGGTGATGTGGCATGTCCTCTTCATCGCTGGTTTTTACTTTCGAACCAAGGATAACTGTATCAATAGAGGCGCTCCGGCGACGCTTCGTAGACCCATTGGTAAGCTCAGTCGGGACGTCTTGAGCGGTCTCCATCTCGATCTCCATCGCGTACTTTCTTTCGTTGTCGTGGGTTATTCCAACCTTCCGCGGGATTCTGGGAAGAATTCGTCTGCTACCATTTGGGCTTTCGCTAGTAATTCGTTCGGGGGAGGAGCTTTGACCGCGCTCAGTGGAGGTACCAGACAGCGAAGGCGACATAGCCCACATAGGTAGCATTATAGAAGACCTAGACGTACTAGAAACGGTGTAAGCAAGGGAGGGTCGGAATTTGTGTTTATTTTTAGGAGGGGCTAACCTACTGAGAGTATTGATGAATATGAAGATAAATGTGTGTGTGGAGTGAGGAGATTAGAGAACGTCGTGAAAGCAGTTATAAAACTTTGTGAAAACCGAAAAGAGATGATGTTGAGTAGAGAAAGAGTTGGAAGGGGCGGATGGTCACATAACCACAAAAGACGCGGCCGGTGACATCACGACGGCACAAAAGCTTAGCTAGAAAAGATTGCCATATGTAGCTAGGTTGTCGGCTGCAATCTTAGTGCCAGACTAGAAATCATAAATATTAGGAGAAACAGAAAACAGTTTAAATTTCTGACGTTAGTATCCAGGGTAACTGTATTTAAACTCCTATTTATCTGGGAACTCTGAGCTACGACGCCCATTAACTGATGTTGCGCTTCATTACCACAATGGAACGTATCTCATCTCACTTAAAATGTCTCATTACGATTAAGATACAATTAATGAATTAAACAAAGAAGAAGAAAAAAAAAGAAAAAAAAACAAACATTGCGATTAAGACACCGCCACGAGTGATATATCATGTCTCAAATATGGCACGGATCACTTTAACAAACTACATGAACCATTAAGATTATGTAGGCTAGTCGCCGAGTTTGGTCAACAACGCCTTATGGATCTCGAGGAGCCAGAGCCATAGTAAAATTGATCAAGAAATTGAAAGGTACTGTTCATCTAACTACTTGTAGTCTAGTTAGTGACCTGTACGTACTTTTCTGCCTTCATTGCAGCGTCCATGATTCACTGAGGGCCTCGTGCCAAGACATCTTAATCAACTAACGTCTGTAGATTCCTCGAGTCTCAGTACCGAAATAGCTATGTAATAACGTTATCCAAGGAAAAGCCATTTCTACTATAATGGGGAGTTTCAACGGTAAATATCAACCCAGAATAGTGTTTTTATGGTCCTTTCCGTGTCAATTAATGGCGAACTAGGTTCACTGGCTATGGCATGGCAATGTGGACTTATAATACAGGCAAATGAGAACATAAAACCGTATGGGCCACTTAAATTTAATTTACACTGGCTAGCTATCCTCCTAGACAGTCTTTTTCATTGGGAGATTCGCTATTGGCCTAAAGAATACTATATGGCATTTGAGCTTGCAGTAAAGCGTTGTGCTTTGCATCATATCAAGTCACGTCCATATCTGCAAGACCCGATTTCACTTATGTCTGTTTCAAGTGACTAGCCTCAATGGTTTGGAAATCGGACTATATAACCCCCGGTATATATAATCACAAAGAATAGTGTCTCAAGGGTTGGAGGTGACTAGTCATATTCAAAGCATCTGCATATATGTGGTTTCGACTTCAGGGATGGGAATTTTACTCGCGATCTACATGTATTTACTGATTATATATGGCTTCCCAGTCTAGGAGATCATATATATATTTTGCCACCACAGCGCTGATCACTACTATGCTAAGTGTTATGATTAATATGTGATATCTTATGGGTATATAGAGTCCATTCTTGTGCTGCCGTTAAATAAGCCACGAAGTCTCATGATTATAAGTTTCATCGGTATAGCTCCACCTTCCTGAACCGAAAACGTTCATCACAAGAGGAACGGCTGGAATTACGCATCAAAGCGTTATTTTGAGCTGGAACCGACTAGCTCGGGTGCAACCCGAGAGGACCGGATCAAGACACTCACAACAACCTATATCCATGGGATCACACCCCTGGCCTGCATAACTCCACGAGGAGTGATCTAGGAAGTTACCGTCTTCGACTACTTTCCTAACTATCGATGGCCTATCACTATCTGTCGACATGGTCCACTGCCCCCTGATTAACTGCTTCTTTGAGAGACCAAACATATAAACGTCATCAGGAAAGAACATGGCCAGTGATATATATACCTGCGCAACTTCTAGTCCATGACAACCCAGCGTGCATTATCCCTCAAAATCACATACTCGGCACCGGTACCACCTGTTCTCTCTTTCTCTCCCGCAGAACCTACCCCGCTGCAAATAAACCCCCCTGTTCCTATCATGCCCACAATCGGGATTGACAATGTATGACGCACCAAAGCGCACGATGAGGAAAGGAAGCATGTAATATCAATAAGGAGGCGCTCAATGGCCATCCTACTGGTTCGGAGTATTGATCTCCCCTCCTATCATCTGAAGGCGCGCTGGGCTCGGTTGGATTTACTAGGCCATTCAACGGAAGAGGAGCTCCCGTCCGCGGTTGACCCGTCCGGGAGGAATAATGCTGCTATCCACATATTCGGGGCCACCTTTAGTCTTGTGGTTGCATAGTTTCAGTAAAGGGGAATTAAGTCGAAGGGAATCTCGGGGCACTGAACTCCACAATTCTTCAACAAGGACCATGAGATCATCTTACAGTGGTCTTTGGAGCTTTCTAATGCTCCCTCCGAGGCTTCGTGGACCCGATGATCCCAGAAAAGCCTTACTCTTTCCTAATGGCCTTGATTTGTCCTTCAGTCCGACCTACCCCCACGTTGACTGATATGATCTTTACTCCTCGTGATTTTTCTGTTCTATCGTCCTCTATCGTGCTTTGTGTACTACGTTAATTATAGATAAACTGCATATCATAGCCCACCCTGTCACCTAATTTCCACCAGGGCCCTTCAGAGCACTCTGAGTAGTTGGCGCAACTGGCCTAAGAGGGCTCGAGAGAGAAGTAGGTGAAAGGCTTTCCTTGATATACTAAGTATATTGGTAGGAGCCGAAAGCTATCACAGCCCCTGTCTCAGCCTTAACATTGACTGTTATAGCCTTACACATTGTGGATGTCGGAATCCCACGAGCTTAAATTTTGTGGGATAAGCAATGTCACTTTGACCACGCTTAGTTCGCTAAACAAGGCACATTAGTTCGAGACGGTAATCTTCTTGATCTTCATAGGTGAAAACCTAACGTATTTGACCGTGATACCGCCCATGACCTAGTTTCCGATCATATGTCTCAGCCTGGCTCGGCGCCGAGGAATGAGGATCCTCCGCCCATATAAGGAATGTTGTCGAGGTAGTAAAGTAACAACCATACACACTCTATATCAATATGGGTCGACTAAAGGGGAGACAGAAGGAAGAAAGGGAGGAACATATCAGATTAGCAATTGAGCGATACCAAACTTCTAAGGACCCGTCTATTAGGGAATGCGCCGAGACTTTTAATATTCCCTACTCCACTTTAAGGGACCGCCTGCAGGGAAAAAGTTCAAGGAGAGATAGTCACCGCAGACAGCAGCTACTCAGCGAGCATGAGGAAAAATCGGTTGTGGCATGGTGCATCCGTATGGATGATTGGGGATTTCCGCTCAAATTATCTCTAGTCAAAGAGATGGCCGCCTATCTTATTAAAAAGCGGAATAGTGGACACAAGCTAGGTGTTCATTGGTTAGGGAGGTTCCTAGATCGCAATCCAGAAATAGCTTCTCGATTCTCAAGCAGGCTTGAGTGACAGCGTGCATTTGCTGATAATCCTATTTTATTGAAGGACTATTTCCAGCTGGTACGTTTGTAACCCGAACTACAGTACGAAGCTGACATAAACTAGTTACAAGAAGTGATACGGAAATACAATATCCTACCTAAAAATACTTATAACATGGACGAGAAGGGGTTTATGATGGGCATAGCGGCCAAGTGCAAGATCATCTGTCGGCGAGCTAGGAAAAATCCGCGTCTTACGCATAATGGGAGTCGCGAGTGGGTGACAGTAATTGAGGCCGTCTCTGGAGCTGGAGAAGCATTACCACCTATGGTAATAAATCAAGGAATGGCTCATTATAAAGGTTGGTATGCAGGCGTTAAGGGGGACGATATCGCTACTTTTAGTTACTCTCCCAAAGGCTGGACCGATTCCTTTTTAGGAATGGAGTGGTTAATACAGAATTTTGATAAATTCACTGCCGACAAGTAAGTATTTTCTTTCATGAATTGTCTAGATTATTAACGGTTGATAGGGCTGAGGGAGAGTGGAGATTACTGATCATGGATGGTCATGCTTCTCACGTTACTTGGGAATTTTTTGACTACTGTCTGAATCACAAAATCGTGCCTTCATCAGCAAACTCTGCTATTCCTCAGGGCGCAGCGCCTACGCCCTGGGCGCCAGGCACGCCAGGCGCCGCCAGGGCAGAGTGCTCGTACCAGGCGTCGCCAGGGCAGGGTCCTCACGCCAGGCGTCGCCACAGCAGGGTGCTCGCGCCAGGCGTCGCCACAGCAGGGCGCTCGCGCCAGGTGATCCTAGCATCCGCGCCCGACGCCCCCAGAGCAGTATGTTCTCTGTCTGGCAGCACCAGGGCACATAATCGTCTATACACTCCGCCAGAGTGCAGTGCCAATCATCTGACCACGTCAGAGAAGAGAGCTTTTCACGACTGCAACTCGAGCACTCGCTCCAAGCAGTCCGCTGTCAGAGCAGCATATTCGCACTCCCTAATGAGCTTCTTTGCACTCGCTAATGCTACTGTCTACAGAGTACTCTGAGCGATATCACCTACATCCATAGAGCACCCAGCAATGCTCTCTCCGCAATCTTCTCTAGGCGCGTCGTGCACTTTCACGCGTCATGCACCTCCAGGCGATATGGTGCTCGTCCTGAGAGCACCCGGCGATGCTCTCTCCGCCATGACACGCCTGGGTATGCCTCCTGCGTCTGAAGAACGATCAACTAATGAGTTTCCGCCCAGGGACTGGCAACGAATCACGGACGTGTCGGGGCCCGCCAGGAGACAGCGTCAGCGCCCTGACAGCACTCGTCAGTAATATCTGCGCCAGGAGATCAAATCACAACGAGCTGCTCGCCAGGCGCTGCCAGAGCATATCGCTCACGCCTAGAGAGCACTCGTCAGTACTATCTGCGCCAGGAGAGCATTCTCAACGAGCTGCTCGCCAGGCACCGCCAGAGCATATCGCCCACGCCAAGACACTCTTCGTCAATGAGTTTTTCCAGGCACTGCCAAGAGATATTGCTCACGTCCGGAGAGCACCACGAATGCTTCCATAGCACTGACCAATGCTCGTAGAGCTGCGGAAACATCTTTAATAATACTATTCAAGGTGGGACACCCCCCACTTAGACCCATATGAATCGATACGCTTTCTTCAAAGGCAAGGTAGGCATCGCCGGTCCCTCAAACGATATCTCACGTGGGTATTCTTCACGCCGCTGAACGGTCAGTCGCGGAATACTGATACGAGCACTGTCATGTATACTGGAGATGGCTACCAAACCTTTGACGAACGTGTATGTATCTGTCGATTCGTGAAAGGCATAAGCCTTGAGGTTGAGGCCATGGTACGGCTCGTCTGAAAAGCTCAATGTCCATGCATAAGCAGCAAACATGGACTGGAAAAAGGTGCAGGATGACTTTACTGGTCGGAAGACCAATGCCTGCCTACCGCGCCCTCCTGGAGCTGGCTTGCTGGATAGTCAGACTCAGATACTGAGCGGCCGATACTCACCTCCCTCTTCCAATCCGCATGCGTACTAACAGAACGACACGAATTTTAAATTAGACGGTCCTATTGGGTCTAACATTCCACTCGTAGAGCACTCGCCACTGCCCTCAGAGCATTCACTGAATAGCACCCGGTATTCCTCTCATATTACTGGATAGCACTCGGTATTCCTCTCATATCACTGGATAGCACTCGGTAATCCTCTCACATCACTAGATAGCACTCGGTAATCCTCTCACATCACTGGATAGCACTCGGTAATGCTCTCACTGGATAGCACCCAGTAAGCCTCTCACATCACTGCATAGCACTCGGTGATCCTCTCACATCACTGCATAGCACTCGGGAATGCTTTACAGCATTCAACTGAATTCATTCCACGTACGCAAATCTATCCTAGTATTTACCAGCCAATTGCCAGCATCCACCTTGAACAAATGGGCCATTCCTAATATACTCCGAATATTCACGACCCACATCCTCTTCCTCCTCCTCCTACAGACCTTCAGCAGCCCATGTGAGCTATCAGCGATACCACGATCCTTCGCCTCAAGCAGCTCAACTACACATAGTCTATGTGCGCGCCCTGTGCTATCCCGCACCTTGAACAGAGCCTCCACACGTCCTGGTAAGCGTCCCCGAAACACTCCCCACTGCTCTGAGGAACCTACCGATACCCATGCCCAATCCTTTCTTATTTTCCCCTTCCTAAAAGATGCTGTTCCCGTACACCTGATGTTGTGAACCTCGTATACGTCAGGCCTTTGGAAGATTGGTATCGGAACCTGCAAGCATGTGAAAACCTCCACCCGGCGCTCCAACATGCTCTCAGAGCTTCCGGCAAAGCTCTGAGAGCATCCCGCATCCTCGGCATACTCCTTTATCAGGCGATATAGCGTGAGATGGCTCATTTGCAGTCCGTCTGCCACGTTGAAAAGTCTTTCCGATTTCGCGGAGGGGTTGCAAAGACGCTTCAGGGGCAGTCCGCATTCTACTATTGAGCGTTCATTTGGCGTTTTCTTGCGGTCCTCGATCTTGAAAATGTCGAGCAACTCCTTGAGGTTATCCCGATGGCTCCAGAGGATGTCGTCAGTGCTCTCAGAACCTCCGACGATGTCTTTCAGATTCAGAATTCGAATCTCTAACGCCAATCGCCTCCCTCCATAGTCCAGTATCTGCGTCGCAGCATCAACCTTGTTGGACGCTCTGTAAGCTTCTTTTACCTGCCGTACATGGGCAAGCTCGCTGACGTCCGTGGAGTATTGAGGAATGCTACCAAAGCGCTCAACGTGCTCCCGGTAGTGCATTAAGACATGCAATTTGATGAAGTTGAAGTGCGATCTTTCCCGAATCTCCCGGATCTCCTCCAAGCCTCGCTGGGTGCTCTGGGAGCCACTAATTGCTTTCGTTCGATCTCTCGCATCCTTTAACGTCTTCTTGTACGCCCTGAATTCTAAAAAGATATCCTTGTGTTTATGGAAATCCTCGAGATAGCTCTCCATATAGTCCAGTGTGCTCGTTGTATGACTCCCATATTGCGCCATTAAGTGGAAGTCTATTAGGCTTCGAACGCATTTCAAAGCTTTTGCGAAGTCGCTCCTGACAGCCCCTCCCGGGTTTCTCAGAGCAGCCGCGAGTGCTCCTAGAACGACCCGCCCCAGATTCCGCATCTCTTTCCCTTGCCATTGGGTGGTAGAACGATATGCCTTGTTTGGTACTGCTAGTCCAGGGTAAGGCTGTAATGGCAACTATAGATTTCGGTTAGGTGATGAATTGGAACGGGAAGGGGAGGTATTGTGCAGTGGGATTAGGATTTGTAATTGAGATTTCTGTTATGTTCTTTTGGTTTCTGTTATGCGAAGATATTAGTCATCGTCGGACTATGGTTGGGTATATAAGGAGGCGTTGTCTTGTGTCTTTATTTGTTTTCTCTTCTTTCTTCTTTCTTTACGCAACCTCTGTATTTATTCCACGAATACTACTTTTGTTCTACGCTAAGTCATAGGGCTCGTCTTGGATCTCAGATCAAGATTGAACCACCTCATAGTCTATAGTTACGAATATCTTCTACTACGTTCTTGCCTCGGTTGTATTCCTTGGCACTATAGTCCATCGTCCATAGACCCACGTTATACGTAGGTTGCGTCCCTTATCGCCAACCAGTACAACACCATAGTTTACAATGTCGGGACACGCTACTATTGATTATCAACAGCTCAGCAACAGTCTCCAAACCTTTTTTCAAGAACATCCATAGGTCAATGATGTTATCGGAGCCGAAGCCTATGCACTTCTCCAACAGTGTCAACATGGTCTTGCTCAGTATGCAACGGATTTACAAGAGATAGAAGCGGAAGCTGAAAGGGCGAGAAGAATGTTTGAACGAGATCTTGCTGCTGCCCGGGCCCAACAGACTGCTGTCCAAGCTGTTGCCCCTGAGGGAGCACCTGTCGAGGACAATGCTCCACCTGCACCCCCAATACCACTTACTACAGATACTACCTATCGGTCAGAAAAGCTTCCGGATCCTGAGGTGTTCAGGGGGGATCGTGATCGAGAGAGACTACACCTATTCAAGTAACAAATGAAAATCAAGCTATTGGGAAATGCCGATCGCTATCCCACCCTACAGTCGAAATTATCCTATGCATTCAGTAGATTGGAAGGCGTTTCTGCCAATCAGTTCTTACAGTATGTCGGGGAAGGAGAGATTACCTTGCCCTCTATGGTACGGTTTTATGAGGTTTTGGACACTGCTTTTGGGGACCCCGATCGGATGCGCACGGCTAGGAGGAATCTCCGGAACATCCGTCAACGAAATCGAACGTTCGCCGACTATTTCGCTGAGTTTCAACGATATGCTGCTGAGTCGGGTATGGATTAAGCCTCTCGGATTGAGGCTTTGATGGAAGGTATTAATGCGGAACTCGATGAATCAATGATACACCATGACACTCCTGCGACGGTAGATGCCTGCGCGACACTTTTACAACGGTTGGATAATCGTCGTCGTGCGGCGGAAGCTAAACGAGGAAATAAAAAGCCTTGGAATGTTGTTACTACCCCGACCCCTCGCCCCCCACCAGTAAATCCTGTTTCTGCTCCCCGTGCTGCCGCCCCAGCCGCTAATGCACCTGTTACGGAAAGTCATCCCTCATCCCGCCCGGGAGGTGATGTACCAATGGATCTGTCTGGAGGACGTCGTCGTCCCTCCCCTGCCGAAAGAAATGCTCGCTTAGTTGAGGGCCGATGTTTCTATTGCGGAGGTGTTGGACACATGGTTAGGGATTGCCCCCAAGCGAGAGTAAGTGGAAATCAACCAAGAAGACCTGTGATGAGGGGAGCAGCATTGACGGTGGAGGAAAATGATGGAAGCGATAACGAGTCGGCAAAAGATTTGTCCCTGCACTAAGTGGCTTAGCACAGGGACCATTTAAGGATTTCTCTAGGATGTGTATTTCTGAGTTTTCGGTATCAGAGGAGGAAATGGATGGAAATCAACTTGTAGTAACTTGTTCGATTTCACAAAATAAAAATTCTTTCATCCCCACCTACGCTCTTATTGATACCGGAGCATCAGGATATGCTTTTATTGATGAATCTTTTGTACGCCACAATAATCTTACAATGACTCCTCTTAAAATACCTCGCCAGGTAGACGTTATAGACGGAAGACCCATCAAATCAGGAAAAATTACCCATATTGTCGATGTCTCGCTGGACATTCATGGTCATAGGGAGACTGCGCCATGTTTTGTGACGAAGTTAGGACACTATCCAATTGTGATGGGGATACCTTGGATGCGACGTCATGATGTTACGATTCGACCAAAGGAAAATCTACTTATTTTTGATTCTCGGAGCTGTTGTCAACACTGTTCAATTAGTGAAACTGCAGTTATTGTTCATGGTATCTCGATTCCCTTACCGGAACACCATACAGTCGTCGTTTCAGCAACTGAAAAATCTACAGTCGACATTGAACAACTAGTGCCAAAGGAATTTCATCATCGTCTCCATATGTTTGAAGAATACGATGCTTCAATTCTCCCACCACATCGACCGTCCCATGATATCGAGATAGTGTTAGAAGAAGGCAAACGACCACCATATGGACCTATATATGGATTGTCTCAAATCGAGTTGAAAGCACTACGAGAATATCTTGATGAAAATTTACCTAAAGGATTCATTCGGGCTAGTGAATCACCAGCGGGAGCACCTATATTGTTCGTAAAGAAAAGCGATGGAACCCTTCGACTCTGTGTTGATTATCGAGGTCTAAATGCGATTACAATTAAAAATCGATATCCATTACCATTGTTAAAAGAAACCCTGGCTAAGTTATCACGAGCACAATATTATACCAAGTTGGATTTACGTTGGGGATATAATCAGATTAGGATAGCGGAGGGGGATGAATGGAAGACGGCATTCAGGACTCGATATGGACATTTCGAATATACAGTAATGCCGTTTGGATTAGCTAATGCCCCTGCTACCTTTCAACATTGGATTAATGATATCTTACGTCCCCACCTCGATCAATTCGTAACGGCATACTTAGACGATATTCTCATTTATTCCGAAACTCTATCGGAACATAAAGAACACATTCGAAAGGTTCTAAAGGTACTTGATGAGAATCATGTTCACCTTAAACCTGAAAAATGTGAATTTATGGTTCAAGAGACGAAATATCTTGGTTTAATTCTTACCCCGAATGGGAATAGAATGGACCCAAAGAAAGTTATCGATGTTTTGGAATGGTCCACACCGACGAATCTCCATGATGTTCAAGTATTTCTAGGGTTTGCAAATTTTTATCGACGGTTTATTCTAGGATATTCGAAAATTGTTGCTCCACTTACAGCCCTGACCAAGAAGAACGTCAAATTCGAATGGACGGATGATAGGGAGGAAGCATTTCAAACTTTGAAAAAGATGTTTACTACAGCACCGACACTAGTTCATTTTAATCCGGATCGGAAGATTGTGATAGAAACTGATGCATCTGATTATGTTTCAGCAGGAATCCTATCTCAACGTGATAACGAAGGAATCCTACACCCAGTCGCTTTCTTTTCTAAGAAACATTCTCCTGCAGAATGCAACTATGAGATCTATGACAAAGAACTTTTAGCAATCATACGATGCTTCGAAGAATGGCGACATCACTTGGAGGGAGCTCAATTTCCAATTGAAGTTCTTAGCGACCATCGAAATCTTGAATATTTTATGACAACAAAATTATTAAATCGTCGACAAGCCCGTTGGTCCGAATTCCTTTCACGCTTCGATTTCGTTATACAATTTCGGCCAGGAAAACAAGGAACAAAACCAGATGCATTGACTAGAAGGTCAGGTGACCTACCTAAAGAGGGGGATGAACGGTTGACGCATCAGAGTCAAGTGATTTTGAAGCGAAAAAATTTGGATACCAAGCTAAGTTTGTTCGCGGGTTCTTTGTCAAATGAATCCGCTGAAGGAACGTCTACTGTAGAGGAGTTATTTTTAAAAGCTTACCAAGTTGATAGTTTCCCAAACAAGATCCTCGCTATGCTTCGGAATGGCGTTCGCCACTCGAATAAAATTTCGCTTGCCGAATGTACGGAAGATAACAATGGTCGGCTACTTTATCGAGGCGCGCTATATGTACCAGACGACAATGACCTTCGACTAAGGCTTTTAAAAGAACATCATGACAAACCATCCGCAGGACATCCGGGTAGAGCAAAGACATTGGGACTTCTAAACCGAGAATATTACTGGCTACAAATGCGAAAAGATGTCGACCAGTACGTTAGGAATTGCGATGTATGTACCCGGAGCAAGGCACCACGCAATGCACCTTATGGAGTACTCCGTCCTATGCCGATACCTGAGGGACCGTGGATGGATATATCGATGGATTTTGTTACTGATCTCCCTGAGAGCGATGGATACAATGCAATCTTAGTTGTGGTGGATAGATTAACTAAAATGCGACATTTAATACCAACGACTAAAGAGGTAGATTCAAAGGAAGTAGCAAGGCTATATATCGATAATGTTTGGAAGCTACATGGATTACCTGATACTATTGTATCTGATCGAGGGACACAGTTCGTTGCGGAGCTTTGGAAATCGCTTTGTGATCGGTTGGAAATATCGCCGAAATTCTCTACCGCATTTCATCCTCAGACAGATGGACAGACGGAAAGAATTAACGCCGTAATGGAACAATACCTCCGAAGCTATGTATCTTATCAACAGGACGATTGGGCTCGATTGCTACCAATGGCCGAATTCGCGACAAACAACCATGCTTCGGAAACAACAAAAGTCTCTCCTTTTTATGCTAATTCAGGAAGAAATCCAAGGATGACTTTTGGTCCGTTAGAATATGGTCGAACGACAGCGGAAGACCAAGCTAATAGCATTGCACGGGAAATGAAGGAGATAGTGGAATTCCTAAAGGACGAAATGTTCCGAGCACAAAGAATACAAGAAGAATCCGCCAATACGAACCGAACTCCAGCCCCTCGCTACAATTTAGGAGATAGAGTTTTCCTATCGACACGTCATATCCTAACGAAGCGACCTTCCAAGAAATTCGATTGGAAACGTATTGGACCTTATAGCATTAAGCGGATTGTTAACCCCTATGCTTACGAATTGGAACTTCCCCGGTCGATGAAAATACATCCAGTATTTCATGTCTCATTATTGTCTCCTGAAGCAGGTAATCCTTTACCTGGACAACAACAGTTACCACCACCTCCGGTTGAGATCGAAGGGGAGGAGGAATGGGAAGTCGAAGATATTTTGGATTCGAGGGAACGAAGAGGAAGGTTTGAGTACTTGGTACGATATATAGGATATGATGAAGCCTCCTGGCAACCACTATCGGACCTTGAGCATTCACCTAACATTGTCAAACGATTCCACGAACGCTATCCGGAGAAACCTAAGCCTACCAGGAGGTAGGCCTTAGAAGGGGGCGTGATCTGTAATGGCAACTATAGATTTCGGTTAGGTGATGAATTGGAACGGGAAGGGGAGGTATTGTGCAGTGGGATTAGGATTTGTAATTGAGATTTCTGTTATGTTCTTTTGGTTTCTGTTATGCGAAGATATTAGTCATCGTCGGACTATGGTTGGGTATATAAGGAGGCGTTGTCTTGTGTCTTTATTTGTTTTCTCTTCTTTCTTCTTTCTTTACGCAACCTCTGTATTTATTCCACGAATACTACTTTTGTTCTACGCTACGTCATAGGGCTCGTCTTGGATCTCAGATCAAGATTGAACCACCTCATAGTCTATAGTTACGAATATCTTCTACTACGTTCTTGCCTTGGTTGTATTCCTTGGCACTATAGTCCATCGTCCATAGACCCACGTTATAAAGGCGCAATCGAAGCCCAAGCTTTGTCGAATTCCTCCAATCGATGATGCTTCTTCAAGAAACCCTGAATCCACTCCATCATGTGCTTCAACATCCCCAGGTAAATATTGTGCAGTATGTCCGGTTTATTGAGATCGTACGGATTAACCCTCGGCATACCCCAGAAAGCATTGAAGAGTGTTTTGACGGATCTCCCAACAAGGTATTCTACCGGTTCTAGATTGCCCGGGTTCTCGCCAAATAGCTGTACCCTCTCCCTGTAGTCCTCGTGATTGCGCATAGAGCTTCGACGAGTGCTCCCAAGATTGTGAAACTCCACCTCGCATCTCGGGCAAGCACTAGTGCTAATGTTTTGCAAGTTTGAATGCTCGGGTTGATCGGCGATCCAGCCCGAGAGCACCGGAAAGCATAGTCGTTCGTAGCCGTCGGCGCATTTGATTAGCTCGCCCTCCTGAGAGCACTCGCGAATGCTTTGAAAGATCTCCCCAAGGGCACGATGCAGTGCCATTTGACTCTGACGTCTTAAAATGGAATTAGCGAGTGTTGTATTCTTTCCGAGCTTCGGTGGCACTGGTAGCAGCCCTAGGAGAATGAATGAATGCCCTGTGGGCTTGTTGCGCACCGACGACTTGATGTTCCCGATGGTAAGATAGATTGGCCAGGCTTTCTTGTCCCCGCTGAAATTTGTCAGATGTGTGCCATCCGACGTGCAGATAATTGGTACGACAGTGGACCCCTCTGGTAACGTATTCTGTCGAGAAGACATTAGCGACTGCTCCTGTAGCATCATCGACTGCTCATAGAGCACCTCAAGTTGACAGGGTGAAGTTTACGGACCTGTATCTCCCACCACCAATCTCCTGTATGCATTTCCCCGTACATTCGCTCGCCGAATTCATTATGCTCCACCACGGGCGAATACACCAATGACTCCCGGAAGGCACGTTGCCCTAGAAGATATCGGACGACTACCATTGGATCCCGGTAGTAGTAAGAGATCTTCTCCCCCCCAATATCCACCTCCGAATGATTCCAGCTCGCCTTTCCCAGTATATCGTTCATTTCCTCCAACCTCTTGATAAAACCCCGCCCAGTGCTGTAGGAGCACTCGCCACTACTCGGCGGAGCGTGTAGAAAGAAGCTGTCGATGTTCCCCTGTGAGGCTTTGGACAGTGTGAAATAGCGTGCTATTCTGAACTCGTATGCTGACCGGAATGGGTGCCATGGGTATTGGAGAAGGCTCTGTGAGCACTCGTCGTAGTCCTCCGAGCGGTAAAGTGGCTCCCCAGCACCCTCGTAAACTGTCGTAGATGCCCTACTATGCCCATTTGAATCGCCATCTGCCTCTTCCATCACGAAATATGATTCGGATTCGAGGTCCGAATTGTTACCCGAATCTTGGTCGAAAATGTCCGACTCTGAATCGTAATGCGTGTCTGAATAGTAATCGGGAATGCTCTCTGGGCTCTCGTCAGTGTTGTCGGGGGTCTCTGCAGGTTGATCGTGCTCCAGCAGTGAATATTGATTTCCCAGCCATTCATCTGCTTCCAAAGGATGGATCGTTCGAAGATGTCTGTCAAAATTCGCGGAGGAGCTGTACCTCTTGCTGCAAAAAGGGCAAGACGATTTCATTGGACTCGAGAATTTGCAGTCTGCCAAGGCGGAGGCTCTTTCCTGCAGGCGGTGCAGAGTGCTCTACGAACGATTTGTCATCCAATGAGGCTCTCGCCGCCAAGCGGTTGTGCAGAGTGCTCTACAGAGTGCTCGCTGCAGAGCGCTCGCCAAGTGATTGTGAGCCTTGCGCTCGCACCTCCACCATAGCGAGGCTGATTTTGACGTCATACATCTCCAACGGAATAATGCAAACACAAACACAAGCATACAACGAGAAGAAACAACAATCACCACAATCATGCCGCCAACGATGCTCCGTTCTACCCTCTCAGCATTCGCTCTCTCTCTCTGAGCACTCGCGGATGCTATTCAGATCATGGAGAGACCATTCTCACCGCCAAATTCGATACTAATATCGGATATGCGCTCAGAGGATACACACTCTCCGACTCAGCTTCATAGCGCACAGAGCCCCGACACCAACAAGAACACAAACACCAACCCAACATAGGAATCCAATCGACACCACTGTTGGTACTACCGTCAGAGCATTCCCGAGTACGCCTAGAGCATTCATCTACGTCATTCAATTGAATCAAACCTCCAGAGTAGAATCTTCGAGTGCGCCTAGAGCATTGATCTACATCATGTATTGGAGCAAACATTCAGCACGGCTTGGAGCACCATATGCAGCACTGGTGGGAGTGCCCGGAGGTGCTCGTACAGCACCCGAGGATGCTCGTACAGCACCCGAGGATGCTCGTATAGCACACGGGGGTGCTCTCGGAAGCATGATGAGCCCTGGAATAGCTGATTGTATTCGGTATAAGAGCACCCTTCTCCTCCTTCCAGATCGTGAGAGCTTCCTAACCATCTTCCAGCGCTACCTATCACTTCAAGCCCCTCCCTGCTATCTAAGCTTTCAAGATACCTCTTGAAAGCGCATTCAGCTCACGTTTCAAGTTTAGGCTTCAACTTGAAGTTTCAAGTTTCGTTTCAAGTTCAAGCTTTCAAGCTGCACACCTAGCGATCATATATAAGATGGTATATCCTCCTTAATCCTATTGCTTTCAGAACCATACTCATCACATATTCACTATAGCCTTCATCCTCCCCTCAGGGCACTCCAGAGCGCTCACAGAAGAAGCGAGATCGCGATCCAGACACCGACGAATCAGATAGCAAAAAACGCCGAAGGAAGGAAAGGAAGGAGAAGAAGAAGGAGAAGAAGAAGGAGAAGAAGGAGAAGAAGAAGGAGCAGAAGAAGAACGAGAAGTCCTCCCCTTCCTCGTCTCGCAAAGAGCAGCTCATCTCGCAAAGAGCAGAAAAGCCTCCAGCCTATCCCAGAAGAGATAGAAGAGACACCCCCGCCGCAGTCGTCGTCTTCCCGGAAGCATCCCCGAGTGGTTTCAAGCTCCCGACAGCACTCGTCACCGCCCCCTCAGCACTCGTCACCGCCCACTCGGCACTCGAGACTCTTCCCAAAAGAGTGGGAATCAGTGCAATCTGAAGCCGAGTCCGACAGCGAACGTTCCGCAGCAGGCACAGCAGCAGGCCCAGCAGGCCCAGCAACACACTCCGCAAAGCGACCAGCAGCAGGGACAGCAGCAGGCCCAGCAGCAGGCCCAAAACCCCAAGGAGGACGAGCACTTCAACGAGTCTCCAGCACTTCCCCAGAATTGGGCAGCTCGCCGCCACAACCGTCGGCCCCTGTCCGTAGAACCGTACTCCCAGTTGGTGCCCCTGCTCCAGAAGCAGTCACCAGTGCTTCACAGAGCTCTCAATCCCGACGTCGCCGTCGGCTACCAATACCTAGTTCCCCTCCACCGGCAGAGCAGAGGCAAAGCCGCAGAGATCGTGCCCCAGAAACTCCCTCGCGTGCTCAGGTAGCATACGCCAGTGCTCCAGAAGCATCATCCCCAATCTCTCAAGCCCGATACCCCGGCAGAATGACTGAGGCAAACAAAGCAAAGATGGCTTTAGGTTTGATCAACCTCCCTAAATTGTACACTAACATCCGCAACAGCCTCAAAGCGGAGATGCAGAACACCGGTTGGGTCAACAAAACCGTTTCCGGAGCAGCAGCGTTCAATGCTCTATGCCTCCATGTGTTGAACATACGCCCTCTCCGTGGTTTCCTGCCTATGTGGAACGGAGGCGATTCCGCAACCCGCAGAGCACTCGCGGACGCTTTGAAGTGGCTCATCGGTGATGTTGGGCAGAAGGAAAAGCTATCGAGGGGGCAGGGAAATCGCAAGTATAAAGAAGTTACTGACGATAGCGATGATGATGAGGACGGTGGTCTGCCCGCCCAACGCTCTAAGAAGCGTAAACTGGACCCAGTGTCCACAGATCTCGATAGACCTTCCATAATGGTTACGGTGGTAGACCCGGATGCTCTAGGAGCATTCTCCAGGGTTGCCCCGCCCCCTATCTATGACTGGAACTATCGACGAAATCAGAATTCGTTCATTGGAGTTCTGATCAAGATAACGTTTCCAGGGCTCTGCAATTTGATCCTGAAGCACACCCCACCCGGCAGAGCAATCAGGAGTATCTGGGGAGCACTCGATAACGTTCCACCGGCATCCAATCCTCCTGTTCGGCCGATGGAGGTGCAGATCACCGATTCGGAAGAGGTCGAGGGTTGGTTGAAGAATAGCGTTGGCAGGCCTCGGAGGATACTGGCGGTACTCCACAGAGCGGGCGCGGGTGCTAATTTGGGTGGTGCTGAAACACCGCCGCTGACAAGAGCATTCCCTCATATCGAGGGAGACGATTACACCACGATCGATATTCCAGCAGAGGACTCTGATTACGAGGAGGGAAATCACCGCATAAATGCTAAAGGACTGAGGGTATATTTGCCCAGAACTGATGCCAGTAATCAAAGGCTAATCCAGACTCTTGTTAGACGTCGCGATAGACAGCAGGATGCTATCGACGACTTAGACCCCAAATACCTGAGGAAGTATCCTCTGGGTGTAGGGGTTGCTGACGCAAACTTTGCACAGGGAGTAATCTGGACGCCTGCCGGGATAGCAGCCAAGAGAGCTGCTGACGTACTCGCGGCTGCTGCTGGAGGCAGTGGTGGTGGTGGTGGTGGTGGTGGTGGTGGTGGTGGTGGCAATCCTCCTCCGGGCGGTGGTGGTGGTGGTGGTGGTGGTGGTGGTAATCCTCCTCCGGGCGGCGGTGGTGGTGGTGGTGGTGGTGGTAATCCTCCTCCGGGCGGACCTCCTCCTCCTCCTCCTCCTCCTCCTCCTCCTCCTCCTCCTCCTCCTCCGGGCGGACCTCCGGGCGGTGGTGGTGGTGGTGGTGGTGGTGGACCTTCTGGAGGCGGTGGTGGAGGCGGTGGTGGTGGTGGTAGTGGAGGTGGTGGGCCAGCTGGAGACGGTGGAGGTGGTGGTGGTGGTGATGGTGGTGGGCATCATTAGTCTCCTTTGGTATAGTCTCTCACCACTCTTCCTGCGGATTTCTCACTACTAACCTTTGAAAAGCTGTACAGATTGCTCTCTGAGCACTCGTGACTGCTACTGAGATGGAGGAGGTGCGGTATGATTTTATGTTTTGGATTTCCTTTGTCTTGCGAGCATATATGAATTGATGGGTTTTTGAATAGCAGTATGGAGTGCTCTCTGAGCACTCGCGAGTGCTACTGAGATGGAGGTGCTGTACGATTTGATGTTTTGGATTTCCTTTGTCTTGCGAGCATATATCAATGGATGTGTTTTGTCGTATTAGATGAGATTAGATGAGATTAGATGAGATTAGATTAGATTAGATTATTCCGTGTCGTAATTGCATTGCTTTTATTTCAGAGTCGAGTCAAACTCCTAGATTGCTCTCAGAGCACTCGGTATTGCTTCAGAAAGTGCAAAGTGCAGTAAAACGAGTGATTACAAATGATGCGGTTGAGCGGATCCCTGCCGTAGGAGGATTAGCCGTGCAAATTCTTCTTGATTAGCGGCGCAAATTTTCTCGCCAAGAATTGATTTCTAATCAAAGATACCGCGAGTGCTCCTAGAGCACTGAGGATATTCCTGCTAGCCATCAGAATGGCTCCCACCAAGCGCTCCTCCGGTTCAGCACCTCTTGCCCCAAAGCGCCCACGACTCCCAAGACGACCTGAAGAACATGAAGATTTACTGACTGACGAGTCTCAGATACCTTGCCGACCATTGACTCCACTGCCAGCCCGCACTCGGAGTAGTCAGTCGACAACCGCCCCAATAGCGCGTAAAGGGCTTCTGTGTTCTACCGACACATCCACTGGAAGAAGCAGCCCTAGAAGGGTAGAATTCCATCTCCCCGATGGCAATACTGACAGCGTTGAAGTGCAGGAGCATCAGGAGGATGTGCCAGAGGTGGAGGAAACCGCCGATACCAGTCACTCGGAGTATGATGACTCCCCAGAGAACGCCCAGGAGAGCTCTGAGGAGAACCTGGACGACCCGGAGGAGTCGGAAGAACCTCAAGCCTCCACTCAGCAGAGATCCCAGAGTACGGAGAAGAGGCCTCGTACAGTGCAGCCGACTACTGCCAGAGCACTGGGCAATGCTCGGAGGAGACCAACCGGAGCGGTAGCGGAGGTTATTGCTTCCTCCGACGTGTCGGTGGATGTGGTACAGGTTCGACTCCATCCCACCCATTAATGTTAAGGACAAAACGCTAACGATTTAGAGGGGAGCACGTCCGGGTGCAAAGGTAGTACGGAGAGCAGCTCCCACTTCGGCACCCAGCCAGAATGCATCCCAGAGAGCACCGCCAATACCCACACAGTCTAGGCCTTCTGAACCTGTTTATTATCATGATTACAGCTCTTCGACGCGCCATATCGATCTTTCCTCATTGCGCTCTCGATACGGGGAGTCCTCACCTACTTACCGCCCCTATCGTTCCTCCCCGCCTTTTGAGGGCGTTGGTGAGAGCTCTATGAGCAGTCCCCGGATTCCCTCAAGCCCTCAGGTATATTTACCAGAAGCGCAACCAAGAGTCTACGATATTGCACAGCTTTCGTCGTCTATTAGGGAAGGAAATGCTCCTATAGCAGAAAGCGAGGTTAGTAGTATTCCCGATAGCACTGACGACCGCTTTGAGAGCACTGTTAACATTCATGCGAGCAACCTATCTCAGAGATCCTTGTTACCTAGCTCGAGGAGTGCAAACGTTCTCTCAATGCAGGCTCAGAGGATTGAGAAGGAGTGCAGCACGCTAATCGGGGACCACACTCTTCTACATGAGCCTTTTCCACCTGCAGCGAGGCTTTCGGTACTGGTAGTGAACATGTGGGCAGCTGCCAGTCGCAGGGTGGGATGTGCGGTAGATATGGACGAGGTCGTTATCAAACAGGTGAATGCCCTTGAAACGTTGACGAGTGCTCTGGAAGCGTAATTGACAACGATAGGTCAGAAGTCTACACTCCCGACTCCGTTCGCACTTGATGCACGAGGTTAAAGGGCGCCTGGCGGATTCGACCATCTATGGGCTTGGAAAGCTCTCGAGTCCTGAGGCGAGGGCTGCTCAAGTAGAGTATCTTTTAAAGAATGATCGCTTCTTGAGCCCTGCGCAGCATTACGAGGTATGATCAATCCCTAGAGAGCACCCGGGGGTGCTAAGAGAGCACTCGGGTGTCAATGACCAGAGAGCACTCGGGTGTCAATGCTCGGAGAGTACCCGGACACCCGGAATGCTTGGAGAGCACTCGCGAACGCTGCTAACAGATACTAGACCTACCGTCTACGGTTTCTTGCGCCAGAGATTATCGACATATTGTACTATAAATACTTTGATGGGGTCAGGATGCGAGGGGTAAAAGACCCCGAGTTCCTAGAGCGGATTACCCCTACATTTATTTGCCTGATATCCACTGCAATTTGGCATGGCATTCGGGCATGGTCAACGGGAACATACGTGAAGCCTGACCATTTCCAGTCACAGAATGAGAGTGTTGTCAGTAAGCATCCCTGATCCCCTTACAGCTATAGCGAGTGCTTTGAGAGCAGTAACAGATGCTCCCAGAGCTATAGTGGATTCGCGCGCTGACATTGCACACGAGTAGAAACGTTCAACAGGATGAGCAACACATGGAAGGGGAGGAGTAGGCAGAATCAGGAGGCAAAGTTGGAGGTGATCAAGGATAACCTCCGGGAGAAGGTATGCTATAGATGGGTGCTACAATGGCGGAGCGCTCTTCTGCATATGGAGGCTAACCTTGATAGATACGAGAGAAGAAGGGTATCACTATTGAGGTGATACCGGAAGATGGATTTAGCGAGGACGACGAAGCGTTAGCGGCGGATCTTGCGGCATTCCGGAATGCTCGGAGAGCACCCCCGAGTGCTCCAGGGGATATCTCCGACAACGGTGGCGGCCAGGAAGAGGTGGTTCAGGCTCAACTTCGGGGCATTGAAGCGGAAGAGGAAGGCGAGGAGGATGAAGATGAGGATCGCGAGGGAGGGGAGGAGGAAAAGGATCTGTAGGGCACCGGCGAGTGCTTTGAAGCGCAATGGCGAGTGCTTTGGAGAGCAGCAGCGAGTGCTTTGGAGAGATACCTATATACCTGTATTATATTCGATTGGCGATTTCAAGACGCTTGTAGTGTTAGTATTTAGTAATAGAATCACGGTTTTGGATGCTCTGCAAAGCAGTGCCTACTAAAGCAAAGAGTAGTATGCCTGGTAAAAACATGGCGCTGAAAGGTAAAATGCAGTGCGTCGGGCGCCGCTGGAGCAGTCGGGAGTGCTCCAGAAGCATTAGTGATATGCCCAGGAGTCGTCAGAGAGGTTCAGGAGCGGACAAAACGCTTCCTGAGGCGTCGCGAGAGCTCCAGGAGCGTCCAGGAGATAGGTAGTAGTCTCAGGCGAGAGAACATTCCGTCGAGAGAGCGTCAGGCGAGAGAGCATTGCGTCGGGGTAAGCGTATCACTGTCGGGGCGCGTTGGGAGGGCTAGTGCGCGCCAGGGCGTGTGAGTAGCCTAGTGCGCGCCAGGGCGGAATGCTAAGCGCCAGGGAGCGCCAGGAACGCTCTGCTGCTTCTCTGGAGAGGCAGTTTGTCTACCGAGCGCCCTGGGCGCCTCGAGCGTCCAGAGCGTCTGGCGGAGGTTGCGGGTTTGCTGATGTTTTTGTCTCCCGCCACATTCTACACACCTATTACAGCCTCTAGATGTTGGGCTTTTCAGTCCTCTTCAAAAACACTACAGTAATCTGTTAGATGAACAGATGGACAGCGGGGATCTAGGTATAAATAAGGGTATATTTCTTAGGTTAGTTGAAATATTTTTCATTTACAGAAATCTGTTAATCTAATCATAAATGAAGACTTTTATTCAGGGCCCGCCGCCTTACCTACAGCCATAGTAATATTCTTTCCGCATGGAGAGCTGCGGGAATCTTTCCTTTCAATCCTCGCAGGGTTCTGGATGCGGGTGTGCATTCACAACATAAGCACTGGCAACCAAAAGTGTTCACTGTTCCAGCAACCCCCCGTACCACCAGAATGGCCAGAGCAACTACAAAAGAAGCATTAGCATTGCTAAATAGTCTCGGCGCATCTGCACATGCAAGCCGGCTGAAAGAGTTAATAGGGTCGCTTGACAAAGGTCTTCAAATATCAATCACGGACAAGGAAATCTCTGACCATATCAATAACAAAATCCGGGCCTCTACAGCAAAAAAAACCGCCAATGCAACCTTCACTGACAGAAGAAGACTTACCAAAGCAAGAGTGATCACTACTGAAGAAGTAATTAGGCTGAGAGAGGCAAGGGAGAAGGCAGATGGGGATAAAGCCGCAAAGACAAGTATTAGGGAGGAAAAGAAGAAATTAAAGGAATTGTTATCAAAGGAGGAACTACCTTCCTCTAAATATAAAGCAAAGTCAAAAAAAAGTGTCTCTATATCTACTACTATTTCTGTAAATAATTTGAAGGATATTGATAGGGTAGGCGTTGATGACGATGAGGATGAATGGTACCGGGTTGAGGATTTTGAGGAGGAAAGTAAGGGCTCCCCACCACCACCACCTCGCAGAACGGCCAATATGACCCTCAGAGGGGGTAAAAAGTATTAATAGATATTCAATTTATATACAGTATTTAATTCATTGACAATTCATTGATATTCGTTGATATTCATTGACACGCGCGGGCCCGTCGGGTTGCGTTGCGCCGCGATCGGTATCCATGTCATGGGCGGTATCACGGTCAAATACGTTATCTGTTGGCTCCATATTCCCTGGGTTTCCTTTGACTCATCTTCTGCGAGACATCAAGTCTAATCGACGAGAATGATATATGGATATATCCCAATCGGAACGTGGCGGTGCGCTTCTACGCACTATTCCTGCACAAGCTGCTGCGCCTGTGATATGAGGCTAATTTGGCTTGGCCAATCTTGGTCAGTATATCCTGAACGATCGACATGTGGTATTGCGCTTTTTGTGAGAATACCTATTGATATATGTATATCGACCCAACGTCGTGATTCTCAGAGCTTCATGCATATCACAGCTTCGTGGCTGGCCGGTATCGGGTGACTCAAGCGTAACAATGTAGAAACTTGAAAGCCTGGAAGCCCATAGTTTTCTGATTCTGCGTTATCCCAGAACACTAAAAAATATATCAGACTTCACATCCCCTTCTTAGATGAGTTTGTTTCCAAATCCTTTCAGGTCTCGTCTGATTCGTGGGAACTTGTTTACAATTTACCCTGCCTCAAGCTTGGCAATCCATGAGAGATATATGGCAACCTCCTGTTATACCTTCCTAGTATGTATCAAAGGATATAAGCCCCATAGCAGACAATAAATCAATATTAGTACCATCAATATAAAAAGTCTTTGGCTCAAATACATCAGTTATTCGATCTCTGACGGCGTGAGATATGGTACCAACTGTGGGTAAATCCGTAGTCAGCCTAAAACCTTCAGCCTCATGTGATTTCGCCTCACACCTGGATGCGTGCCTCAAAAATAGAATCAACAATAGTACGTCTCAAAGATACGAATACGAGTCCACGGGGCTTAGGAGGCTCTGTTTCCCCGCCAAGTGAGTTTCTTGACGTCACTAGAGGGCTACGTGTACGTGTATAGAGCTGAGAACACGGGACAGCTGTTATGAACATTAATCGATATATGGTGCGCCCACTCTGAAAGGTAACCATAGGGGAAACGCCAAGGCTTTTATAACTTCACGACCATGAGAGATAGAAAAAATCTATAAGACCGTTTTACTCCTCATGATTATTCCTAGACTTCTATCTTGACAAATTTTTAATATCTGTTGTTGTTGTAAAGTTATAAAAGCCTTGGCGTTTCTCTCGTGGTTACCTTTAAGACTGGGGGCACCATACCTTATCAGTGGATAGCTAAGAAAGCCTTAGGAACGCGTGAAGAAAGCGTAAAAAGCGAGAGTAGAATAAACATATCACATCAGAGTACTGGCGTTGTTTATTGAGACTAGTTTCTAAGCACGCCTTACCAAAGCTTTGTAGATCATTTCGCACATGCCCCAATTTATTATGCTTACTTTTGTTTTGGCCCGGGATATTTCGGATCATTGGTTCCGCGTGCCGAAATCTCATCTAGGTAATCACGCAGATCAGTGGCTGGCTACAATTACCTCATCTGAAACTGTAACCGACGTTATGTGTGGAGAATAAAAAGAAAAAGAAGAGGGGGAGGGTGGGGGTGTAAAATTTGTCACGGAATTTACAGTGGTCAGCAAAATCAGTTATTTCAACTCTTACGTACGTGGGGGAAGCAGGGCTGAAGCAGAGGGATGTTTCTTGATTGATATGTACCCGGAATGGATGAACCACAGCCTTGGAGGGATACTGGTCCCTGGTGGTTAGTTTTGTACTACATAGGTGCAACCATATCGAAAAACGCTCTACGAGGAAGGCTGAAATTAGAGTAGGTGGGAATATCTTTGCCGAAGGAAAAGATGCTGTCAACGCCTAACACCGACGAGTTGAGAGAGCAAACCACAGGCTTAGTCCCGGTTTAACTGCTAGCTCAGAGACAGAGAATGTAAATTACAAACTTTCCAGGGCACGAATCATCGCCGTGTCTAAGGGACGGATCCGCGGATGAAGTCAGGGTTTCTCCCAGCCGCACGCAGATTCTTACTGGGAGTACATAGCAACCGCTAACTACCAAAAGAGAATTTAGATCAATCTCGATAATGTACCTACCCTCTTAGACTAAGGGCAGGTTTATCCGTCAAGGTTTCAGAATAATCTCCGTCGGCTAAGCTAATCATGTTCTACTCCATATGGAGGGAAGTCATCACCGGTACTAGTCTATTAAAGGTAATGAGTCACTTTTCACCACCTCCATAAGGAAGGCCCGGAGAGGGGGGGGGGGGTTAGAATAGACAGTAATGAGATGGCAGATAGCAGGTAACAACCCTCGATGACCAACATAAGCGAGGTTTCGGTATCACAGAAGGAGGTGATCAGAGTAGCGCTCGATTTTTAAAGAAATGTGAACTCAAGGTAGAGGGGAGAGTTCGCTCGCTAATAAAACACCCAGACAATGACCGCGCTGCAAATGAGTACTGAAACAAATATTTCCCGAGATGGCCAGCGACGTCAGGAATAGGAAAAGAGGAAATAGAACAGAAGAAGAAATTGGCCCCACATGTAGACAAAAAAAAAAAAATGAAACCGGCAATGGATTCGCACAAAACAACAAGAAGCAATACAAAAAGAAAAGAAATAACATAGGGAACTGAAAAATTGAGATCAAAAGAGTGTAAGGTTTAAATACATATACCATAGAATTAGCTATTGGCAATACCTGTATGCTCATCACCCTGCCCTTCCTCGTACACCATGTAGAAGCTGCTATTAGTAGAGAGGAGCTCGAGCTCTTCATCCTACCTTGGGCTCAGTGGAATCTCTACCCATGATGATAGGTTGCTATAAGGAGGCTTTGCAATCGTTGTGTCTCGAGGCAGGAGACCGGCGGGATCACCATTGTAGAATCCGGGTTGAGTCCGGGTCAAAACCGAGTTGTTAGGCTCATTTAGGAAGCGATCGATACCACAGTATCCATAACCGTCGTTGATGTCGCGTAGCTGTCTTTCATCTAAGCCATATGTTTCCAAAATATCCAGCATCTTCCTACGCTTCATGTGTTGATCTCACTTAGCTTTCCTTCACAAAGCTAAATCAAGAAGTGAATTTCAGGGCGATTCTCACCGATCTAAGGGCATCCTGAGGGTGAAATGCGAAGTCTTGGCGTGACTGTTCAACGTTGGGTTCTTCTAATACTTTTGGTTCCACCTTATACACGTTGTTTTGTTTCAAAGGGGTGGGGTGTTGAGAATCAGGGGCCACAGGACTATCGATAGTTGCCGTAGTGATTTTAGTTCTAGGACCTCGAACAACGTCCGAGTGGTAGTCAGAAGTGCAGGGGTGAGACATGGTTATGCCGCGGAATGAGATAATAAGTGGGACGAGTGAGGGTAGTGAATTATTGTAGGCCTGAATTTGCCTGAGAGAAATTAAAGAAAACAGCAGAATAAACTAGGAAAAAGTTTTTTTAGCCCTGGTGGATAAGGACCTTTTATAGAAGAATAATTACATGTAGCTACAACGCAGCTATAAAGATGGTGCGATACAGCACCTGATAGCATGAGCGTTATGACATTATGTACCTACAGGTTTTCTGAATGGATAAGAGGTCTGTGCTGAGCTGGATTGGAACAGCTACATACATGTATATGTGGGTTTTATTTGTATATGTATACTCCATGATTTGTTGCAGGTTCCCAGGTAGGTCCAGAGTACTACATGTTTTAACTTAGCCTGTGTATGTGTTTGCCACCGTCTTGGCAACGGTCTTCGGTAGGGAAATTTGCGAGAATTTTCAAGCGAACGCTTGCTATTACTTGAAAACCAGTTTCTTTAAATCATGACAGGTATGTAGTCTCGTGGAACGCTGAAAAGGATTTAGATACAGTCGTTCCCGGGGCAATTGCGAGCCTGGTTTGATGACGAATGAGCCAATCAGTGCCAACAAAAGAAAACAAAAGAATACAAAAGTGCACCGGCCCCTTTGTCTTGATTTGCTATTAGCATCAAGTCTATGGCCGGCTGAAAAGTCGCCGTTTGTTCCTGATCAGGTTCGCCGTTATTGCGGAACGACTGTAGCGCTAGCTTGAGGCTCAAAGTTAACCATATTTAGGGTTAACCCTCTCTACCAGCTCATTATATGTGCGCACATAATTAAGCAGGTGACGTTATCGACTTATAACATTGGAGATATTATCAAAATGAATATAAGTAGGAAATCAATACTTTTTATACCTAACAGGCACAGAGCATGACAGTGCAAGTTAACAGCAATGGGTAACTTTTGCAACAAAAGCCGAATTCAACGTATCTAGCGGATTGTGAAAATCTACCAGTACTAGCGCACCGTAAGGAATGGAATGGAAGCAATCTGAAGATCGACCACCCTCAAAGGCGAAATAATAATTCGCCTTGGTAAATCAACGTGTAGTCTCTTCATGATCATAATAGCGTCGGTGTTGGTAAGTTAAAGCGCGATTTACCTCTAATAGATGCGGACGCTTAGACAGTATGAAGTCCACGTTTAAGCCCAATCGTATCAACTAGCTAGAAACTTTACGCTTCTCACACATTGGCCATTGAAGGTATCAAAATTTAAAAAGCAAATGCCATAAAAGCCCTCTCCCTACATATAGTAAGCTATATAGTAGAAAGTAATCTACGATATTAGAAATGCAAGGATCAGCGCTTGGTCGTATTTGATTATCATGTACTCGAGCCGCAAGCCAAAGATCTGTGTTATTTACTCGCATTTACGCTCGGAAGCAAACATATTCAACGAATCACTCCCCTATAGCCTGTACACGGTATTGGGGAAGCTGACGATTCTGGAGCGCAGCTCCCATTCGAAAATCAGTACATACTCGATCTGACCTAAGTATACTTGTATGCGGTTAGTGCCATCCCTAGGCCCTGGCTTTGTGTTATTTGATTTTGACCCATCCTAATATTAATGAATAGCCTAACCTGTGTAGTGGGGTTTAAGGTAAGTTCTATGAATAAAAGGGAGGATTAGGAAACAATGTAAGGCAGGATTTAATCACCGTAGACAATGTCATCAGAGTAACGAAGGTGGGTAAAAATAAAAGGGTTAACAACCTTCTCCTATGTCGGGGGTGTATTGGAGTTTAGATGAGGCTCAAGGGACATGTGACTGACTACATGAGTTTAAATGCATACGTGTCCTTTCGACAGCCTCGTAGGTGAGGCCCCGGGAGCCTGACGCTGCAAACACGTAGCAATGTTTTTACATGTTGTTGCTCCCGCATTAGCGCGAGTCTACGGTTACGGTCATGTGCCCAAACGAATTGGCGCAGAGAACGTGCGGGTAAATTCTAGGCCGCCATGGTTGCTTGAGTTCGAAATACGCTGAGAGTGAGGTAACATAATATTGGTGCATAGGTGACGCTAATGCAAGAGAGAAAATTTCCCGACTACTCAACTCATAACACTGAGGTCGTTTAAACGCATTATTTGCTCAGAGCTTGCAGACAATAACGCGCAGAATATTCGTTGTGCAGTACGAGCAAATTGATTGAATTATGGATGCGCCCGATAATATGGCCGTGGCTCCATCGGATCTGTTTAGTGCTTCTTGTATTAGCTTATGCATAGCTGGCTAGATTGTGCTCTTTAAACCAAAGGTCGGGGGAGGATAATTTAATGTGGGAAAATGTAGACTCGTTAAGAGTAGATATCTGTAGTCTGTTAGGGAATGGGCAAAGTTAAAGTGGAAGTGTGCTACAAAAGAATCTGAAAAAGAAACGATTCGAAATCCCATAAACATACCGCTTTTGAGAGTGGAAAAAACTACATGGAAATATTTTGTTGCAATATCATGTTGTGTGACGAGGAACATGCAAACGTGTGGATCGTATTCAATCAGTTCAGTGATTTCTTCAATTGGTTATCTCTTTATCTCTGCCTCTCACGTTTTCCAGATTCTGTAGAAAAAAGAAGTAAAAAAAAAGGGAATACGAGCTGTACAATATCGGCTGTTAGATCTACCTAGATAGAGGGAAGATTATTTTCTCTTTTCAATTGCCAACTATACACTTGAACGTTTTTATTAGTTCTCAATGCCGCACTTGATCATTCGAATGAAATTTGAACCACTCACTGATCTTGAATTGTCGATCTTTTATCCATGCCAGAGAACTTTTTGGCTCAATACCTCTACGGTGTCTGGTGAAAGGAGCAGGTAAAATCCCTCAAGTCGTTATCTTGCCCGCGTCTGGTGCTTTGTCTTCTATGGTAGCAACTCCCACACTTATTTTGAATGGAGAGTAACCTGCCAAGGAGCAAAAATCGTTGGATTTTTCTTTTGAAAGCATCACTATAGCGCATGCAGAGAGAATAGTATCAAACAGGACGTTTGGTACTTCAGCGAAAGGAAATACAGTCGGTTGAGCACGGGTATAATTATTTCCCGGGCCGTGGTCATGCGGAAAAAACAGATCTACCCGATTGCCGCAATAGTTTGAGGCTTCCAGACAAGGAGGGCTGCAAGCACTACTGATGTTGACCGCATATCGCGTATCCCTGTTATGCTGGATCCCTGAGACGCGGTTGCTAAATCAGGTTTTCAAGGCGCCGAGATCCTATCATTATTGAACTTAGTTGTCTTGCAAGAGCGTAAGGCGCGGTGTACTAGGTAAAATGATGCGAAGGTTGGAAATAAGGCTGACAGCTGTGGGTTCTGTTTACTAATTACGAGACTGAGTTCAAGGTTATAGGAAACACCCTGCACCTCATGTCCGTACGTAATAGTTTTCGGGCGGCAGACCGGTCGTTAAATCCGATCAAAATGTAAATCGTCGCGTTCACTAGTATATTGATTCAGGTCCTATGCAGGTGTTCAACGGTGTCAATTAAAAAAGTGACTCTGGATATATGTGACGGAAGCCTTTGTAGATAATGTGGCTCGGGAGTTGGTTAAGTATAGATCGAATTAGACAGGCGGTGTGTACGTGTCAGGCTGCGATCGGCTTGGCGTGCAGCTAAAAGGGGTAGAAACACCAGGTCCCCAACTCAGGTGAGGAAGAGTATCAAGCTGAATCCGATCAGGAGTGTTGTGAGGATGGTAACGCGTTTTTAAATTATAAGAAGTATCCGATGTCCCTTGGCGAAACACGATAGTATTGTAAGTATGGTAGTGGTACAAAACCTTGATGCAGGTATGAACCGAGCGGAAAATCATGGCTCTCCACGAACAACGGCATTATGCGAAAGCATCGAACATCACCTACAACGGAGAAATCGTTTCATATTAGAACTACCATTATATATTAGTAGGATTCGGCCGAAACGCAATGTTCCATTTGAAGATGGGTTATAAGAATACAGTAGAAGCTAACAAATCAGTATGTGGGACACACATGCAATTAATGAATTAAACAAACAAAAAAAAAGAGTATGTGGGACACCAAAGAATTTGTGTTCACCTCGTTTACAAGGTCAACTCGTCCTATGCACTTAATTGTACTCCCGAACGTTCAGTAATTATAATCAAGTGCGAGGTATATCGTTGTACCCGTCTCGAAAATCACGCACTCGAAGTGGGAGAAGCCAGTACCATAAAGGTATGTTCGTGGTTGATACTTGGTATCCAAATGGAGAACTATGACTTTATGCTTTTAATAAATTCGCCGTGTGGAAGCATTATTGTGCAAGCTTTAGCTCTAAGGCTGACGCTTAATACTCAGGACTGCGTTTTGTACCGTTATCCCTCTTATCGCCTACTCGAGTGTGGGAGAAATGATTTGTACGTAATATCAAAGCGTTTTCCACTGCCCCCCGTTCCTCGTTCCCCGCGCGATCGGATGATTGCCCTCTGAAAATCCGCCACGCTCATGGGTGAACGACCCCTTCTCAGTTTGGCGTGTACAACACTTCATCTAAGCGCGGATAACATTCTTATCGACTCTCTGAACCCCTTGATGGAGTGGCCTGTCCGAGGCCCTTTCATGAGAATGATTTAGATAGGTTTGATTTCGATGAAATATTGTTATATTTCGTCATCTCTCCCCCTTAAACTTATGTAGCCGTGGTGGATGGTGTTGTGTAGAGGGTTGAATGTAATTCAAGTGGGGTTACTGGATATCCACATCATAAAGGACGCATTAGTAAATATAAGATTTAGAAACGATATCGGTTACATATAGGGTTGTTTACCCCGGCTTTTGGACCTTTCTCTCTCGCCATTCATTAGAATGTTTCTAGTTACAAGAGTACATCAAAAGAGTGGATGTTGACAGTGATGTAATGTAGGGATCGACGAAGGTCTTCTTACCTAGCTCACACCAAAACTCTTATATTAAAAATCTTAATCTGCTTTAAAGCCTCCCTCT